AGGGAGTTTATATAGGAATCCAGTATAGATATGGTAAATCAAGTTGCTTGTTAGGAGTATTAAAAATACTTAAAACTGACGTATTATTTTGAAGAATTTCCACCGTAGAAAGGGAACCGTGAGTATAAATTGGATCACCACTTGTAGAATTAAATCCAAGTTCCTCTAAAATGCTGTTGTACTAATGAGCCTTACAAAGACAATGTTGTTACCTACTTTGTCTGCTGGGACCATTATATAATGATCGTTTAATCTAATTCTTTTTTCACTTCTGAATTATTGAAGACAGAAGTATAGATGGTTTTCATATTGCCCCTCAACCGTTTGAGTTGTCAACATCTATCTTGTTCATTTAATCCATTCTGGCAAAGTGTCAAAGTCTTCTTCAAATTTGACCCATCGTCTGGCATAATCTTTGACAGAATTCATGATATTTATGAAATTTTGTTGCAGTTGAAAGACTGGGGCTCCCTAATTTGCATTTATGGGTAAAATTGGATATTAAGTAATTGGTATTGGTTTCGAGCACCTTCACTCCCATTCCCCAAAGCAAAAAAGTGACATAAAATATTTCTCTAAACCTCAGATCGACACAAAATTACACGACACGCAGCGAGTTTCCCACTTCATTCGCAAGTAATCAGTTCAATGTAAAATTTGTCATAAAACGTTTTTAAAAATCAAAACTCCATAATAATTTTCAATGGATCGTGTGTTTTGGGTGTCCTATACCTAATTCTAAACGATGCATCCACAGAGAAATTTTGCAGCCTTTGACAATTATGATACTTAGTCTACCTAAATATCATTTCCTCTTCTGATGAATTTCAGGGAACGCACCATGCTTCTGAGAACTGCTCTTCTGGTTGGTGGATTTGTCCTCCGATTTATCGAGTTTTTCCTGTTCAGATTGGTGAGTATCATCATCAAATGATGGGCTGTTTTCTTCTTGAGTTATTTGGTAAATATGATTACGAATATCAAATTATGAAAAAGATGCCATAGATTACATGTTTTATATAAAAAAAAATACTTGAGTTCGACACTGATCTAATCAATATTTAATTGGAACTACTGTGTATTTGTTTTTACTTGTTGGAACACAGATGGACCTGTACGACAAATTGCTGTACTCTCCTCTGCAGACGTCACTTTTACCAGTCGTCTCCAAAATTCCAAGAACACTGGTTATAGGAAATAAGACTTACACAGTATTCACAGCTAATATCGTTTCCTACACCAGAACCTTCTTGGTCATACCCATTGCTATCTGTCTAAAGTTAGTATGTCTTAGGGAAGTGGTTTTCTTAGATTTGGTCCAACTTTTCATCACGTTATAAAATTATAACCCTGAAGAGATATCTCGGCTATTTTGTCAGGTACCAATGCCACATGACAGCATTTCTGTTGGTTGTTCTCCACGATTTCCTTGATCACGTGGACGGAATCGTAGCCAAGGCTCATCGTGAGATGTTTGGACAAGTTGATGATCCATTGCTTGGAGGATTCATGGATGCCTTTTGCGACAAGGTGCCACTTACGTCATTATTCTTCATTTCATGAATGGTGAATTTCTGATTTGATTTCTTCACATTTGTTTGTATTACAGATTGTGAACGTCTTCGCTCTCTGGTCAGTACTTATGGTTACAGAATTTGGTACATTCTCCATGTTTGAATCCTGTTTATATGTTGGAGCTTGTGGAATCATTATATTCTATGAGTTCATTCTTGGTGTGGTGCGGGTACAGGACTATTTCAGAGCATACTACGAGAGGTTTTATTTTTTGTGACGTCGTTAATTCAGAACTTCTCATCAAACATGGAATGAAATTTGATTTTTATTTATGTCAATTTTTTGTTTAGATTGTATGGTAGATCAGATGATAAAATGTCCAAAAGCAGTACAGCCGCTGTAATGGAAGGGAAACTGAAGGAAAAACTGGAATCCACGGGAATTGCATGTCTCTGTCTGGCTCAGGCAAATGCTTGTGCTGCCTCCTCCATATGTAAGTCCAAGCGGAGTGTAGAATGCGTCAGTACTGAAGTGTGAAATTAAAGATTCATTTTGGGTTAATCAGTTACTAATATGTTGTTTTTTATTCTTATTAAAGCTGGAATAATAGGAATTCTGTGTTTGCTCCTGTCTGTTCGTTTGGCCCATGCAAGTCTTCAAAACAAGCTACTTGCTAGGTCAGCAGCAAAGAAGAACGAAATGGCTGAAGAAACAACAGTCCCTGAGGGGAAAATCAAAACAGATCTAGAAAAACAAGAAGACATTGTTTCTGAATACAAACCAGTAAGTTAGCAAAGACGTGAAATGTTGCAATTGTTTCAGAAGTTTAAGGCATTTCCATATATTTTTATTATTATTATTGAAACAGATACCAAGGCAGTCGTCTGCTCTTGATCTTTCTGGAGAGCCGGAAAAGGATTCCAAGCTTCTGTACGATGATCCAAAGACGAAAAAGGACGACATCAATAGAATGCGGTAAGGACATCTCATAAAACTATTTGGTCAATGAAAATTCTTGATTAAATGCTAAAAATGGTCTCTTGCACCCATAGGATCGAGTCAAGCAGTGGGTCAGAGAGTACTGAAATAGAAGAGGATGGTAAACAATTTAAACGGTTGAGCAGACGGCGATCTTTCATAGCAAAATCTCTGGACGACCGCGTAGATAGAGTCTACACTGTTGGTTGTTTTGACCTCTTCCATCGAGGGCATGTTCGTTTGCTCCAGAGAATGAGGAGGCTTGGAAAAGAGGTTGCTTGCGCTTCTCATTTTCAATCCAAGTACGAAAGCTAATTATGATGTTGTTCCAAGAAGTCAGAGAGTTAATGAACAAGTTATTGATTCACAGGTGATAGTGGGAGTTCACGACAGTAGAAGCATTCTGAAACTGAAGTCCAAAATCCCAATTGACAGCACTGAAACTCGAATGACCAATGTTAACAAATATGCAGATGTAGTAAGTAAATAAAATACCTAGTTGTCAGCTGTTCTATTGTTTGTCAATCATATCACAATGGTTCATTGTCGTTTACAGGTATTTTGTGTAGCTGGAACAGACCCTACTCCATTTTTGGAATGCATCGCCAACACCAGCTCAGATTTGACCAGAATGTATGTACGCGGTGATGATATGCAGAATTTTCCCGCACGCCAACTCGCTGAACGAATAATGACCATCAAATTCTTGCCCTACTCACAAGGCGTGTCATCGACTAAACTCCGTAAAGAGCAGTACAACTCCTCTAGATTTGGCCCTCATATAAACGATGATGGACATGCGATGTTTTATTGAGTTGCATAATTAACTTCCATGTTTATTTATTATCCATGACAGCACAATCAATACGTTAGTTACAATTGCAAATAAAACATTCTTCACTTTACCATTTTCTTGCTTTTTAGCTCGTCTGAGCCGAAGGCTTTTCTGATCACATTTTGTCTGATCGGCGCCCCCTGTCCACATTTTCGACTTCTCCTCAAGAACCACTGGGCCAATTTCAACCAAACTTGCCACAAAGTATCCTTGGGTTTAAGGGATTCAAGTTTGTTCAAATGAAGGGCCACACCTTCTTCCAAGAGGAGATAATTATGGATTAGTGAAAAAATAATGGCATCTTTAAAAAATCCTCTTCTCAAGAACCACTGGGATAGAAAATATGAAACTTACGTGGAAACATCCTCAGGTAGTGTAGAATCAAGATTGATCTAATCATGACCCCCGGGGGTAGGATGGGGCCACAATGGGTGATCAGAGTTCTACATAGGAAAAATCTTTATAAAATCTTCTCAAGAACAGCTAAGCCATGATTGATCATATTTTTATGGAAGCAGCCTCAGGTAGTGTAATCAAGTTTGTTCAAATCATGACAACCGGGGTAGGTTGGGGCCACAATGGGTGATTGAAGTTTTACATATATATACAGTGTATATAGAAAAAATCTAAAAATCTTCTCAATATGGAAGCATCTTCAGATAGTGTAGAATCAAGTTTGTTCTAATCATGACCCCCAGGGGTAATGTGGGGCCACAATGGGCAATCAAAGTTTTACATAGTAATGCATAGGAAAAAACTTCATCTTAAGAACATCTAAGCTACATGTATGATATAAATTTATATGGAAGCATCCTCAGGTAGTGTAGAATCAAGTTTTTTTTTCTTCAAATGATGACCCCTGGGGTAGGGTGGGGCCACAACGGATGATCAAAGTTTTACATAGGAATACATAAGGAAAATCTTTAAAAATCTCCTCAAGAACATCTAAGCCATGATTGGTCATATTTATATGGAAGCATCTTCAGGTGTAGAATCAAGTTTGTTCAAATCTTGTCCCCTAGGGGTAGGGTGGGACCAAAACAGAAGATCAATCGTATAGGAAACTACTTAAGCCATGATAAGCCAAGAAATATGGAAGCGTCCTCAGGTAGTGTAGATTTAAGTTTGTTCAAATCATCCTTCTTGACCACTTATATAGTTAAATTTTTCAATACTAAACTGATTTCTGCTTTTTTTCCTATCTTAAGTGCTCAGGTGACCCTAGCCCTAGGGGACAAGATTTGAACAAACTTGATTCTACACTACCTGAAGATGCTTCCTATCTTAAATGCTCAGGTGAGCGAAGTGGCCCATGGACCTCTTGTGTAAAATTCCTTATGACTTATGAAAACTCCATCAATTTACAGTGATAACTTTACAACACACTGGAGTGCTTGACTATATGTCAAAGGGGAAAATAAAAAAGAAGAAAAAAAGGCAAAACATGCATTAATGGATTATAAATGTTAATCATTTTTGAAAATCCTTTATATTGTTATGCCAGTGCCCCTTACACAGCAATGACAAACAGATGTACCTGCATAGACAGCCCTACGTCAGATGGAAACACCCCCCCCCCCCCCCAAAAAAAAACGACTATGGTGGGTTTCTAAAGCTAACCAGATGTGAGTTTCCAGCAAATAAAGAAAATATGCATAAAAGACATGTGAAGTACTTGTATTATAATTTTTAATTCTTAATTTTGAAAGTTGCACAATAAGCATATTAGATCTTTAACATCATTCATTAGTTACAATTTCCCAGTAAATCAAATTAATCCAAAAGCAAATTATAGATACTTTGCATAATTTACTGAAGTAAAGAAATAATTAAAGTCATGAAACTGAATAACAGAGTTAAAAAAAAAGTCATATACATGTATGCACTATGAAACAAAAGTTCAACACATGGAAATAAAGAAAAATAAAAATAGCATCTAAAAATTATTGATAAAAAAATAGGGAATAATGCTTAAGTTTCAACAAAATGAGAAAAAATACTCCTACATCATTCAAGATAGACAGATCTGCAGTCACAAATAAAAAAAAAAAAATCAGAAAAGCCGTTGGATATCACAAGTATTGTTGATCTTTTTATTATATATAGCACCAGCTGTCATGAGTATTCAAGACTCTCAGTAAATGGGACATCTTTGGTATAACCTGAACATAAATGCTGCACTGAAATTATATTTTGTAGTTAGACAAACATTTTATTACATGTAAAACAAAGTCAATTTCATTTACCCTCTAAACCTGGTCAAGTCAAGTCTTAAACAGTCTTCACATCTCAAGAGTATTGAAAAGGAAAAGATATTTTCATGATGAATAAATGAACAAAATACACTCAAGAAATACAATAAAAGCTAACTATGGGAAGAAACCTGTTTAAATACACATCTTCCTAACTATATATAGTTACATTCAATCATGCAGAGTAATTGAATGATTTAGGGATGATATCAAAAGCTCAAAATCTGATTTAAAAAAAAAACTAAATTCAAATACTTAGGGGGGAGGAGAATAAGAGCCCCAAAAGTTATTGTTGACTGACATCAATAATAACACATAAAACAAGAAGTGTATATTGTACCTTAGACTTTATGTTTCTGGTATATGATGTTTCTTTTTATAAATAAACAAAAGAATTAAACTTATGGTGTAATAAATACTAATATTTGCTGATCTAATTCGAATCAACATCTATCATTTAGTTTGGAGTTGGAGGGGTCTCTTTGTAAAAAAAAATGTTTAGTTTTTTGGTCAGATATTGAACTTTTGATCTTGTCCCTTAGTTCTCTCTCACATAATATCATCAGTACTCAAATTGATTATACATACACATCAAATATTGTCTATAAAGCATTAAGAATAATGTATATAAAAAGCACCTTTAATATGTATCTGAAAGTTGTTTAAAAAGGGGGTACATGGTAAAATCAAAATACTAGAACCGGGTACAAAAATATCAATTTAAAATTATTATAATAAAAACTTAAAAGTCATCTATAGACAGAACACATGGATATTGTTTGTACACTTTTAAAGTGCTAATATACATGTAGACATAAAACTACACAGAGTTTTCACAATGTAAAGAATTGTACAACTATCAAGAAAAAGTGTAATGCCTTTGATTTACATAAACAATTTTCTGTATCTAGCACCCAATTTATTTGCACAGACCTGCAAATAACCTAACACAGTGAAGAATGCAAAATTCCCCTGCAATGTCTAATTGCATAATATTCACATATGTCATTCATTCATGGATGCATGTATGGAACAGTTTTAAATATCACTCATTTGAAGGTAATTTTAAAGACTTTAAGTAATTATTTCTTGTTTAAGCAAGGTCGTACATTAAATCCCCCAACAGCATCTTCGGGGACTCGTAAAGGCCCGTTATTTTGTATGTATATGTTAGATATACAACCACTATAGTTCTCTGAGTATGATCCCTTGGTAATGGTAGGCACCAGTGAAACTCCTCCTATAAAACATAAAGCAGTTTTGTCTCAAAATTTTTATATCAAAAACAAATCATATTTGAATATTTTTCACTAAATTTAACCAGCATCAACAGTCCTATGTTATAGTAACCACAGAGCTAATATGGAGGCTAAATATCAAAACACTCAATGACAAATTTGAATGATGGATATCAAAGGTTTTCTTTGGTGGACACCAGAGGAGTGGCTTCACCTTGTATGGTATACAGCTCAAATTTCCTCATGGTTACTTCTGTGCTTTTAACCTAATTCCTTTTACACTCCATTTTAAATTAACAATTATCTGCCCCTTGTATTGATTATTAGTTATAACAATTTTCAGGGTTTCTTCTCCCAGGAAAATGAAACTGCTGTGAGAAAATTGCTGTAACAGGATTACCCAAAATTTAAAGATGTATAAAAGTTTCAGTGAAATATTTTTTTTCTTATACAGAAGATAACTTTCTTTTTCTCCTGTCAGCATACAAAAGGCGCCACAACAGAAACCCTCGTGTTCTTACCTAAGAAAATATTTCCCTCTGTGTTCAGGCTCTGGAGCGGTCCTTGGGATTGCCCAGAAGTTGAATATGACAGATTGTTGTCAATGGTCAAGCTTCCTTGCCGACCTAATCTGGTTACCTCAATGATATGTGCATACCCATCATTGACTCTGATTGGTGACGTTATGTTTGATGGACCACTTCCCAGGTCATAGCTGAAAAAAGTTATTTGGTTACATCAGTTTGGTTCAAATTGATAAGAAAGGGAATTCCAAAAATCAAATACATGTACAGTCAAACTTCATTATCTCAAACTTGATGGAACCTATCTGAAGATTCAAGATATCAAAGTTAAAATACATAAGAAAAAGTGATTGGGGCTTCCAAATCGCTTCCACATACCCATCGTATTGGAAATATCAGTGTTCGAGATACCAAAGTTCAACTGTACTGTATATTGGGAAATTTTAGCTCTGTTTTATTTTTGCCTTTGTTGTCCAAAGAAGAAATTCAAAATGGGACAAATTCAACAGAGGCAGAGTTATCTCCCTTTAAATTCAACTTATGTCTTGTGCATATTCAAAACAAGCAAAATTGTTTGCAATTGTAATACTAGGGCCAAAAATAACATGGGTCAAAAAATAACATGGGTCAAAAATAACCCAGTGAACAATAATCTGTAAACTTTCCATTACCTATACATGACATAACCATTCTTTAATCCGATGGACAGGTAGTCTCCACTACTTGACCTTTGTAGGGGCATGCGCTGACCCTTCCACAGGACTAGACCATTGCTCTCTGTTGTTTTGAGGGTAAACCTCATGTTTTCTTCCTGCTGGGGAGAGGCCGTCAGGTAATCTTTGGAGAATTCCACAAAGCCATCACGGTTCACCTCAATGTTCTCTCCTAGCTTGATTACTACAATGCAGCAAATAAAATTCTGCATCCATCTACCACATCTTTTTTTTAAACTCACTTTGCAGACATTTCTTCCAATGATTGCTCGTTTAAAAACTTCAGAATCTGCTTCATAATTACAATGTATCAGTCATTGGAACCGATAAACATGTGATCTGAAACTTTTGGAGGTATGCAGTAATGGAAAAAAAATGACAAAAAAAGGATCAAATATTGGATTACAATCACGTTCATAAACACCTTTGTGTGTAAAGCAAAACTGTAATTTTTGACCTATTAATTACCTGCTTCACAGTTCTTTCCCATGAATGTTAAGGGGCAGTCACACCTGTATCCTGTGTTGGTCACGCTACAGACTCCGTTATTTTGACATGGTCGCTGGGTCAAACACAGATTAATCTCCACCTCACACTTTTCACCAGTGTAACTAGCTGGACACAGACAGGTGTAGGAGGATGCAGTACCCCCCTGGCAGGTGCCCCCATTTCTACAGGGATGTCTATTGCAGATGTCCGTTTCTTCACAATCTCGCACATCAAGTGTTTCTATGGCATCTTTGACAAGGTTGGTAGACAGCATGTTTATTTTCAACTAAACACACAAAAAAAAATGTTTACTTATTTCATACAAATGTATATTTGTGTGTATTATTATTAACCTAATACATAACATATACAACTTTTAAACACATGTTCAAGTTCCTCATATGAGAACATACTTTCTTTTAATTTCAGTAAGTTAATTATGATAAATTTTTAACAAAAAAATCTCTATTGGAAAGAAGCAAATACATAATTAATGATGTTTAAAATCTCCCTCTTCCAGAGAAGCAAGAAGTTACACAAACCTCAGCTATACATCCATAGAATCCATTCTGGACCTCCACACCATCAGGAACTTTCTTATCTGGATCCACTCCTCCTAAATATAACCTGGTTCTCAGATCCAAACCAATGTGGGTCCCTGGAGATGTATCTGAAAGTAAGCGAAAAATAAAGTTATACTTACTGAATTACATATCACTGTAAGAGTAAGTCTGTTGTAGGTAAAAATTAGACTGACATTCAGAAACAGTACTTGTAATTATAGTACTTGTACTTCAATACCTAATTATAAGTCGGAAATACAACAGCTACTGTATATTATATGTCATAATACAGTATTAACAACTAGTTACTTAATGTAATTTATATACATAAAATGTAGCCATTTTCAACTCTAAGCAATGTCTTAAATCCCCTACATTTTGTATTAAAAAAATTCTTATGTAGACATAAATATAAAAGAACGATTTCCTGAAGAATCAAGCAAAAATTGTAACTAACTGAAAATACTTTTTTACTATTTACTTTTTATGACAATGACATTACTTGTTTCTAAGAATTTTACTTTACTTGTGAATTAAAGACCAATTTCACAAATACATGTAACTAAATTCTTAAATTATATTCATTATTTCATGCAAACATTGTGCATACATTTTATAGGCAAGCAATTTTCAACAGTGAATGGAAATTGAAATAAAGCATTAAATACAATTCAAGGTGAAACAAGGAAAACGCTGCTACATGTACTAATTAACATTTGGACATAGGAACAATTCTGTCTACTTAAAGCAATAATCATCATTAAGTTGTAAAAATAAAAGATTAAAATCTGAAAATTCTAAATCTATGTTAATTCACTCCAGTACTTAAAAACATGCATAACTTAACTGTTTATAATCACCATACATCTTACAAGACACATATACTTATTCCCTCCTTTACCTCACAATGAAATGAATGGCTTTTACAGAATCTCCCAATGATGAATTACAGAATCATGAAGATGTACAGGACCACAAGTGTTCAATGGTCTCAATATGTCAGCAACAGAAAGCAAAAGAGCACAGTATGTATGGAAAGCACGAGTTGTACAATGTATGTGAAATGAGAGTGAAAAATACAAATATCGGCATGTGAGAGTATAAACCATGTGTTTGCTGAAGGTTAGAACAGAAAGTATGAAAAATGGTCTCCAGAATGTTTAGACACATGCAGAATAATGCCACCCAGTAAAACTGCTGAAAAAACAGTAATGCTGGCAACACAGAGCAAACTAGCAACGCCAAGCCTCCTTTGCAACTTGTTTACCTCGCCTGTACCGATATCGTCTACGCAAATAATAGTTGTAGTAGTTGTTGCGCAAATTGTTGGTGTAACTCCATGGCCAAGCTAAAGTCAAAGTAGTGTTTCATTAAATGAGACAAGACATTAGCTGTTACCCTTGGCAGTGAAAAGTATTTGTTTGAAACTAATATTAATGATCCTAAAAATACTACAGTATACTTTTGTGTTGGGAAAAAAGCTTCAGCAATCTTAATTAAAACCATATATATTTCAATTTTCTTTTTTCAAAAATAAGGTTTCATCAATTTTATCTGCTTGAGATGTACAAAATAGAATCAGAATGGAAAATATATTTTGGTTCTGAATAGTAAATTTAATGACAATGTTCTGTAACAGAAAAGCTACACTGTAAACATGCCAATCAAATATCAAGATCAGTAAATAGCTCATTCACTTCACTGCAAAAAGTTTATACATTACATAACCTGGTCATTTTCATGTACTTTTTTTTTTTAAGGGAAAAAATTAAAATATTTCAACTTACACTAAAATTTACCCATTTCAGAGTCAAAGTCGATTAAACCTCATCAATGACTTACCAGGTAATATTTTCACAGATATCAGTAAAAAATGTTAATTTTCTATGCAGAACTATGCATGTAAATTACCATGAACTTCCTATAGTATGGCTATTCTGTCAATGACAAACTACTCCTAGCTATCCTCTGTAAGAATTTAAAACTGAAGTGTACTTGGTTATGTTTAAGAGGCGGCAGTCATGTATTGTTTGCTCATGCAGGACGAGCAGTCTCGGACTTGCCCAGAGTTACCTACCTTTAACTGGTTCCCCGTTGTTGATGATGAGGCTACCCTCTTGTCCAGACTTGGTGGCGGTGATCCTGACCCACTCGTTGGACACAAGTTTCTTCTTGCTTTTCATCACTGCGGGACCTAGTCAACATAACATTCTCCATTAATGATACGTAACACAGATTCATGTTAATGCAATTTAGTGAATGACAGTAAACACTAAAGCATTTATCCGTGATGAACCCCTGCTCAATAAAATTAATAAAACAATGAAATAGAGTGATAGTTACTGCAGTTTTCATGAGATGATGCACAATTTGAAGACTGAAGTTGAAATATCATAAAGTAAAGCAAGAGGCCCAAGGGCCTTAACGGTCACCTGAGTATAAAACAACAATCCATAGAAGATCCATAGAGTATAAAATAAACTGATAGAAGGAGCTTTTGTAAATCTTTGATCGTCCATTGTGGCCCTACCCTATCCCCAGAGTCCAGAGTCATGATTTGAACAAACTTGAATCTATACTACCTGATGTTTCCATGTAAATATAACCAATCATGGCTTTGCTGTTCTTGAGAAAAGAATTTTTTCAAGATTTTTCCTACATATTCCAATGTAAAACTTTCATTGTCCATTGTGGCCCACCCTACCCCTGGGGATCATGGTTTTAACGAACTTGAATCTACACTACCTGAAGATGTTTCCACATTCCCTCTTTCTTGGCCCAGTGGTTCTGGAGAAGATTTTTTTCAATGTATTCCAATGTAAATCTTTGATCATCCATTGTGGCCCTGCCCTACCCCTGGGGGTCATGATTTGAACAAATTTGAATCTACACTACCAGAGGATATTTCCAGATAAGTTTCATTTTTCTTGGCCCAGTGGTTCTGGAGAAGAAAATTTTTAAAGATTTTTTCTATGTAAAACTTCGATACATCAAAATGACTAATCATGGCTTTGCAGTTTTTGAGAAGAAATTTTCATATATATATATATATATATATATATATATATATATATATATATATATATATATATATATATATATATATATATATATATATATATATATATTCCTATGTAAGACTTTGATCCTCCATTGTGGCCCTGCCCTACCCCGGGGGGTCAGGATTTGAACAAACTTGAATCTACACTACCTGAGGATGATTCCATATAAATATGACCAATCATGGCTTTGCTGTTCCTGAGAAAAAGATTTTTAAAGATTTTTCCTATATATTTCTATGTAAAACTTTGATCATCCATTGTGGCCCCGCCCTACCCCCAGGGGTCATGATTTGAAGAAACTTGAATCTACACTACCTGAGGATGCTTCCATATAATTATGACTCATTACGACTTTGCTGTTCTTGAGAAGAAGATTTTTAAAGATTTTTGATATATATTTCTATGTAAACTTTGATCATCCATTGTGGCCACGCCCTACCACCAGGGGTCATGATTTGAACAAACTTGAATCTACACTACCTGAGGATGCTTCCATGTAAATATGACCAATCAGGGCTTAGCTGTTCCTGAGAAGAAGATTTTTAAAGATTTTTCCTATATATCTCTATGAAAAACTTAGATAGTCCATTGTGGCCCTGCCCTACCCCTGGAGGTCATGATTTGAACAAACTTGAATCTACACTACTTGAGGATGATTCCATATAAATATGACTCATCATGACTTTGCTGTTCTTGAGAAGAAGATTTTGACAAGATTTTTCCTATATATCTATATGTAAAAATTTGATCATCCATTGTGGCCCCACCCTACCCCCAGGGATCATGATCTGAACAAACTTGAATCTACACTACCTGTGGATGCTTCCATATAAATATGACTCATCACGACTTTGCTGTTCTTGAAGAGAAGATTTTTAAAGATTTTTGATATATATTTCTATGTAAACTTTGATCATCCATTGTGGCCACGCCCTACCACCAGGGGTCATGATTTGAACAAACTTGAATCTACACTACCTGAGGATGCTTCCATGTAAATATGACCAATCAGGGCTTAGCTGTTCCTGAGAAGAAGATTTTTAAAGATTTTTCCTATATATCTCTATGAAAAACTTAGATAGTCCATTGTGGCCCTGCCCTACCCCTGGAGGTCATGATTTGAACAAACTTGAATCTACACTACTTGAGGATGATTCCATATAAATATGACTCATCATGACTTTGCTGTTCTTGAGAAGAAGATTTTGACAAGATTTTTCCTATATATCTATATGTAAAAATTTGATCATCCATTGTGGCCCCACCCTACCCCCAGGGATCATGATCTGAACAAACTTGAATCTACACTACCTGTGGATGCTTCCATATAAATATGACTCATCACGACTTTGCTGTTCTTGAAGAGAAGATTTTTAAAGATTTTTGATATATATTTCTATGTAAACTTTGATCATCCATTGTGGCCACGCCCTACCACCAGGGGTCATGATTTGAACAAACTTAAATCTACACTACCTAAGGATGATCCCATATCAATATGACCAATCAGGGCTTAGCTGTTCCTGAGAAGAATATTTTTAAAGATTTTTCCTATATATCTCTATGTAAAACTTTGATCAGCCATTGTGGCCCCACCCTACCCCTGGGGGTCATGATTTGAACAAACTTGAGTCTACACTACCTGATGATGTTTCCATATAAGTTTCATCTTACCTGGTCCAGTGGTTCTTGAGAAGAAGATTTTAAAAGATACCATTAATTTATCACTAATTCTTAATTATCTCCCCTTGGAAGAAGGTATGGCCCTTCATTTGAACAAACTTGAATCATCTTTACCCAAGGATAGTTTGTGGCAAGTTTGGTGGAAATTGGCCCTGTGGTTCTTGAGAAGAAGTCGAAAATGTGAAAAGTTTACACACGACGCACACCTGCATGCCGATGGACGAAAACAGATAGCAATAGGTCACCTGAGTGACTCAGGTGACCTAAAAAGTAAGACAGACAGCTACTACATATACAGGTGTATGCACATCATAGTTAAATCCCAATGATACATCTAGAAAGCTACTTCAAAATGTATTTAGATAAATCCTCAATGATACATGTAGAAAGCTACAACAGAGATAATTCCTAAATGATACATGTAGGAAAATATTACACTTCACAGATATTTTCCAAGTGCATTTTCAAAATAATACAGGTCAGAAGACAGCACTGTACCAGATCCTGTGTTGTATCTGAACTCCAGGTAGCCATCTTTAATCAGGATGACCACATAGTCCCCGGATCCATCCTCGTTCTGTCCACTGTACAACACAAGTCCATTATCCAGAGATTGGGGTTTGATCTCCAATTCAATCTTCATCTGGAAGCGAGCATTTCTGATTGGATCATATGATGAAAAGGAAGACCCATTGAATTGTGGGTAGATGACCTGCACAGCTGTAAACGGAGTAGAAAAAATGAATTTTTTTTCCATTTTGAATAACCAAAATAGTAGGAGAAACTTTTCTGATTGTTTTATTGGTAGTTTGAGTCACCAGAGAGTGGGAGAGAGAGAGAGAAAGAAAGAGAGATCTTACTCTGTGAGCAGCCTGAACCAATCCTTCCCATTGGACAGATACATTGGTGGCCCCCAGTTACATCACGACATCTTCCTCCTGGTCCACAGATTCCTTGCATAACAATAATCATATTCTTTTTTAAATTATTGTAGAAAAAATTCTTCAATAAATACATTGCTAGAATCTTTATTTAGACATAATAACCTGCCCATATACCATACAAGTTCTCTCTGTTCAATCTACTGACACATTATAAACTGGATGTAAAAGATTAAGAACTCTTTTGAACTCTCCCCTTTCTGATACCTGGATAGCAGCCTCTTCCTGTGATCTCACATCGACTTCCTGTGAACCCAGATGGACAGTCACACTTGTAGCCATACTTGGAGTTGGCTGGCAGACATCTTCCTCGGTTCAGACATGGTCGGTCTTTACAAGCGTTGTACGGTTCAATCCCCTTCAGCTCGATGGCATCAGCCCCCAGGTTCAGGTCCTTGCCATTAATAATCACCTGACTCACAGCACCTTTGGAGGACAGAGCACAGGTTTTGTAGCAATGGTCTTCTATTACATATATATGTACATCTGCATGAATGAAGAGATTGCCAACAAAATGTTACAGAGTATATTTACCAACAAATCCAGATGAGTGTCTGGCTGGCTCTGGTACCTTGTTGGGATCTGGCACATTACCCAGGTACATGTTCTGACCAAGATCCAGACCACTGAACTGTCCCAGTGAAGAACCAGTGTAGACTGGCTCATCATTAACCTCCATACTTCCTGTAAATTTAGAAATAACCAATATTGAAAACATTCAACAGAAGGAACACATAGCCACTAGATCTGTAAAATTTGGTCAATTTATGTATTTGCTATTTTCATCCTTTGTGAACACACTCTAGATAAGTACCGGTAACATAAAAAGAAGTAGCCCACTACACTAGAATTACTGAATCCCTTGAATTTCATGTAACTTAAATATGAGGTCCAGAGGTGAAAAGGTACCCAAATTATCTTGTCATAGTGCCTTACAGAAGAACCCAGTACTTAATATAGGGCTCCCACATCTTGATGCAGGCCCCTAACTATGTAATTATAGACCACTTTAATTTCATGTCAAGACAAAATTGCAAAATTCAGTTCTCGTAAATAAAACATGATTTCAGACACTTTTAAATCATTCCAAAAGTATTTTTCAACCTGTTTGAGTCAACATTTCCATGTAACAGTGCTTGAAACATTTTGTAAAATCTGATGCTACATGTACATTTGTACATGTCACAGTAAAACTCACCAACAGAATTTTCCCTCTTGAGTTTGATGGTATTCCATTGGTTCAAAGGAAGAGTTCGATTGCCCTGTATTAGAGCAGGTCCAGAACCAACATCAAAGGTGAATTCTGGGTAGCCTCCTCTCATTCCCAGACAGACATAGTCACCTCTGGCATTATCATACTGTCCATTATACAACACCAAACCTATAAAACAGTCCACAATTAGTCATTTTATTTGATCCAAACTGCAAAATTTTGAAGTAGGAAGGAGCTAAGTGTTACAGCATTCTCTCTAGATTCAGAATAGAATTGCACTACACAATTCTGAGCTGCGTTCAAGACCATAGCAGCTAGCCTAGCTACACTTATTTTTCTATGTAGTGGCTAGGCCATGATCTTGAAGCAGCTCTGGTTTCTTACCATCTGTGGTTTCTGGTCTCAATGAGAGTAAAATCTCAAAGTTGATGTGGTGATCTTCAATGGGAGGGTAGCTGATATATGATGTAGGTTCCTGATCAAAGTATGGAACCAAATCTGTGCAACACCATATGGGGACATTGATTAGTTACATAAAATAAACAGGGGGCATATTAAATTTAAATAAATATGTAAATACATGGATTCAGAAAGTATTAATTCTTGAATGGGAAATCTTATTTTAAATAATGTACTTTAATTTACTTCTTTTATTATCTCATCAATAATACTGTTATTTTGTCATGGTTTACTGTAAATATCTTTTGTGTTTATAACTCATGTATTTTACAGGAATTTGTTCTTGATGAAAGATCAGTGAAACTCTAAACCAAAATATCCAATATAGAAATTGTGAATGTATAAGGAAGCAAGCACTGCATAAATCTCTTCTCTTGTTTCATTCACAGTTATGTCAGTGTGTTGTTGATTAAAAGAAAAAAGTATGAAACAAAAAGCTATGAGGCTATATATAAATATCAAATATGGTAAGCCTTGAAATACAAAGAAAACTTTTATATAGAAATATAGAATATATCAATCATACATGTGTTTCTAAAATGTGCAACATCTTTATGGTGAAAGATGTACTTTCAATAACATCTAAAATAAAGAATGATAATAATAATTTTTCTCTATACATTCAATAACACCAAGCAATTCTCAGCTTGTGAGTTTGCCTTTTAAATTATGTGTACTATATGAACTTTTACATCATCATACTAGCAGTGCATTACTCTTAGCCATATCTGTAAATTGTATATCTATAAGTAATATCCCATCCACTTGACAACACTAACCATACATAGCAGCTAATATACATGTACAACAAATAAAATTAATAGACTATACCCCCAACGGTTAGGTTATAATCTTTTTCATTTTGACCGAAGTCATTCTGGGCTTGACAGACATAAGTGCCCTGGTCTCCGGGGTAAACACGAGGAATCTCCAGTTTTCCGTTATCTACTGTGTAATCTCTGAAAAGTACAGACAACAGTAAGAAACAGGGAAGACAACTCCAGATCTCCTGTCCTGCATAGAGGGAGCACCTGTTGCAAAGCTGATCAAGGTGAAAAAGCATGGGGCGGATCCAGTGACTTTATAAATGAGGGAGTGAATAGTGTTAATCTTCCTCATGATATAATAACTTTATAATTTAAAAAGATTAATAAAATTTTAAATTGTAATGTTTTTTAACAAAATATTTCAAAATATAACTGTTACATTAAACTAATATCAGCTCCTTTAATTACTTGAGAACTATGTTTTTATTTCCACAACATTGTTTAATTTGAGATCACTGAATCCAGGACCCCGCAAGCACTGATACACAGCAAGCGACAGACTGAGGTGTGTGAGGCCTTACCCCCTACGAACAGATTGGTGGAATGCTCATTTTTGCCCACATCATTTTGTGCATTACAAATGTATGTGCCTGCATCTTCTGGTCTTAAGCGATCTATTTTCAATGCACCATCATCGACTGAGTAATCTCTATAAATCAAGCGAGAGCACAGAGCTTGGATTATTTTCATAATGGTTCAGGTAATTTCTTCAGGAAATCAACAAATTATATACGGAAAATAATTTTAAGTTCAGGTATTGTTTTTTTCCTCCACAAATGAAAGGTATTAGAATGTATATTTCTAGCAAATTGAATATCTAGCTCTTCTTTTCATTACAACATAAAAATTGTAAAATTATTTTTAAAAAGATTCATTTTTGAAGTGCCGAATGAGATACATGTAGGTCTTTTTGCACAATGGTGAGAAGCGCTGCATGATGAATGTAATCTTGAATGATACCATTCCTAACAGTGCCAAAATTTTTACAGCAGTTTACTTCATTGTATTAAAATACACTATAAAATAAATGATTATTCAAGGAGATTGCAAGCTTTTAGATATGTATATAAATATTAATTTTGTACTTTGAATTTGCTCAGCAGCTTTATCATGCTTATGATGTGTGATAAAATGAATATGCTATTCTGGATAGGTGCATTTTTCATTAAGAAGGACATGAAGGTTTGCTTAACATCTTCGCATTATTTGCTTTTCTGACTTTTTTGGGGGGTTTGAGACAAACTTGCTTTTTAATTTTTCTAAGAAACAAATGATATATGGTAACAGTACAACATACTTTAATAAATATTTATCTTAATTTAATATATTATTCCAATATTCTTTATAAAAAGATAAATCTGGTGCTGTTGATCTCAGAAATATTACATATATTATTACCTTGGCATATTTCCCTCTCGTTTGTACCAGCTGATCTCTGGTTGGGGGTACCCCACGGCTTCACAAGACATGGATGTACTGGACCCCAGGGCTGCTGTCAGGGACTCACTACCCCCAGTAATGATGGGTTTAGCTGTAGGGAAAAGGTGATGATAGTCATCCAGAACCTACACCACATCTTATTTACAAGAGTAAAATAACAATTTGGAATATTACTTTAGATTCCTGATTTTGTGTGTCACTGAGTACTAAATATCGCAAATGACTTGTAGACATTAAATCATGAGGAACTGAATTTAGAAGTGGACTGTTGAGCAAGGGTATTGACATATATTTTTGATTAGCTATATACATGTATATATAAAAACAAGTACCATAATTTTATTTCACAAGTGGTGCTTCTTGAGAAATTTAACACAAGAATAAATCCCTGTGTACAATGCATATTTAAAAATATACGGTAATTTCCTTGACTATTATGGCAATTCACTTACCTCTGACGAACAGGGTGACCCTCTTCTCGACTGTTCCCACAATATTCTGTACAGTACAAACATAGGTTCCCGCGTCCTCTAATCTTATAGACTGAATGACCAGGAAGGCATCATTGACAATGGCAGTGGGTGGAAGAGGACCTTCCAGCTTAGACCAGCTGACTGTAGGCTGAGGGGATCCTATTAAATATTGTTTTCTTTAAAGCTACAGATATAAATTTACAAATAGATGTGGACATCGAACAGGAAAAGAGAGAGAGAGAGAGAACCATGACCTTACTGTTCTAAAAATATAATGGTGGGTAATTTACAAACAGATCAATCAGGCCTCTTATGGTAGTACACTGTACCTGTTTGTCATAAATGATACACTCCCACACTGTATAAGTTTAAATATATGATCCTGATCTGTATATGTAATATAAATATAGCATTTTATTGACTGTACTTTGGGCCGGTGGCCTCAATACTCAATAAACATCTTGAACTGAACCTGCTTGTCTGTCCCAGTATGTTTTCTTGTACTACAGAAACAGGAACAATACCTGTTGTGACACATTCCATTTCCACCTTTTCTCCCACATTGACAGTCTGTGTGTCATACTGAATGGAACCACCACCATTAACTAAAAAATACAGAAAGAAGACTACACTATCAACAGTGAAAGAATCTCACAAACTGGTGTCAAGAACACTGCAAAAAAAAATCTCAGCTTTTATGAACTGATTGTATTCAACTACATTCAATGACAGATAACGTCAAACCAACAGAGTTCAATGTGAAGCCGTATGTTACGCCTGACCTGATTGGACAGTAACCATGATGTAGTCCCTGGCAGACCCAGCTGTACTTCTGGCGTTACAGATGTAGCGTCCTTGATCCTCACTTCTCACATTGTATATACTGATAATAAAAACATACATTGTATATACTGATAATAAAAACATACATTGTATATACTGATAATAAAAACATACATTGTATATACTGATAATAAAAACATACATTGTATATACTGATAATAAAAACATACATTGTATATACTGATAATAAAAACATACATTGTATATACTGATAATAAAAACATACATTGTATATACTGATAATAAAAACATACATTGTATATACTGATAATAAAAACATACTTTGTTAGTACTACCTGCTGCAATACATCTTTGGTATACGTTGAAAATCTGATAACTTAATTTTTGTTTTTCAAATTTAACATCTTTCAGAGTACTGAAATAATTTAAACAAACACTTGCTGCAAAGCACATTAACAATACTTCAATGTATTTTTTATTTATATTCTTACGTTAGTATGTCATTCCTGATGTCGGAATTAGAGGGGAGAGCACCGCCCTGTTTTTCCCATGTGACCTGTGGCTGTGGTGTCCCCGTAATCTGACACTGAAGTGTTACTGTATCACCTTCACGTACAGACCTATCTCTGTCAGAAACAACTATTGTGGGGGGTACTGCGGGGGGAAAAAAGGGCCAATTAAAATAAATCATGAACAGTTATTTGCTAAAACCACAGAGCGACTCATACTTTATTCTCTTTTTTTCATATCAAAAGCAATAGTTTACCTTGCACTATGACAATGGCAATGCCATCTGAGGATCCTGCAGAATTGGTAGCCACACAGCGGTACCGTCCGGCATCAGCAGCAGTCACCGCCCGGATCTCCAGGATTCCGTCCACAGTTTGGGTGGCTGAGGGGGATAATCCTCCTCCCAACTTGACCCATTCAATGTTAAATGGTCCCTGACCCTGGGGTTGACATCGGAGTTGTACTCTCTGACCAGCCCTGGCCTCTACTTGAGCTGGTGAAATGCTCAACTTTGGGGTCACTGCAACATTAGGCTAGTTTGTCAGTATGGCATTACAATTTCCTGATTCATATAATCTATTTTATAAATTAGAATGATATTCAAAGACTTCTCTACATTGAATCCAGAAAAAATATAGTGACACTCTGTACATTTAGGGGATATATGTTCATATTATGCATATCCAAAAAATCAGTCAAACTTCTTGCCTGTCACAATGATAAAAACAGAGGTCTCATAATTTCTAACTGGTGTGGTAGCAGTGCAGATGTACTCCCCGGCGTACTCTCTTTGGAAGCGTGGAATGTACAGGGTTCCTCCCTGAATGCTGTGATTGGGGGGCAATGGACCCTCCCTTCTCCTCCACTGGATTACAGCATTATTTAGGCCTAAAGCAATAATCAATACTGAAAATCTAACATGTACAAGAAGATTCTTTTATTTACAACAAATTTGCTTGAAAGCATATTTTTAAATTTAATCTTTTTATCTATGGTAGGTGATGATATACTTGTAAATAACATAGGGATTAAATCCCCAAATTTCCATTTTATTTGATTTTTATACTTTTTGAAGCACTTGCCTTGTGTTTCACATCTCAGAGTCACTGACTGTCCCTCTGTGGCAGATAATCTCTGAGGACCAGAAATCGTAACTCCAGGCACATTAGGGTTCTCTTCACGCACTACAAAATATAATGTGTACTGTAAAACTATAGTGTCATAGACAATATGAATTATGTTAGCTTTGTAGACAGAGATTTACTAAGATACAGGTATGTATCATAAAATACAGAAATCTATAAATATGACAATACAGTCTACTTCAGATATATTGAAATTCAAGGGACCAGCACATTTTTTCAATAAACTGAAGTTCAAAATAAGTAAAATTAGTCTACAATTAGATGTTTAAAAGTCCTGATCCCAATCTAAAACACGAAGACAAACCCAAATCACAATAAAGATTACACAGTTAAATTTATGACACTTCAATAGTTAAAGGAAATTGTTCATTTAAAATTATTTTTGAAAAAGTCAGACATTTTTCAACCTCGTATATTTCTTCAAATCTTGTATTTATTCTTTATCAGTGAGGGAAAGTCGCCAGACTCGCACGGACTCGAGGGTTTCAAAAACGACACACTGCTGATTTGTACATGTGTATCATTGCTAGTGTACGCGTGCCAGATTTATCCTTTGCTAATTTGGATTTAAAATTCACAGTTTTTCTTAGGCAGTCGCAGACATAAATTCATTTTCGTTATTTAAAGTTTATCTATCTTTCTTGTGATTTACCCATTTTCACAAGCAGGTGTTTAAACAGCTCTGTTCAAGAGCGCCATCAATATGTGATCTGAGAGAACAAGATACCCCTCAGTAATTTATTTCTTATAAAAACACGCAATGAAAACACATTACATCAAAATATATTTACTGACACCTTATCATCTATCTGCAAATTACAATGTCACCAACTGTAACGATAACTGGCCAGGAGGACTTCAATTTTCCATTATAAACAACAACTCATTATCATCTCAGTGGATCAATAATTTAAGTGATTTCAATTTAACATATATTTTACTGCAAAGATAATGAGAAACTTAGACTGGGGATTTGGTTTTACTTCAAAATAATCAATATTTCAAAATAAGTGGAGTAGGCTGTATTTACCAATAATCTGGGCAGTTTCCTCTACAGATCCAGCATCATTTGTGGCGACACACACATAGTTGCCACTGTCACCGCTAGAGACCGACTCTATGGTCAGGGTGGCTGAACCTGGTCCGAGATCCGCGTCCAAAGAGACGGGCAAATCTCCTCTGCTTGGAGTCGCCTCGTATCGCCAGTAAATGGTTGGTGTTGGAACTCCCTGAGCTACACATTCTAAAGAAACTCTCTGTCCAACAACTGCATAAACTGTTCGGCTGGGTTGAATGAGAACTTTCGGTGGTCCTAAATGAGATATTGAAACTTGACATCTCTAGAATGTTCTAAATCTAATGCTATTTGATCAATAATTTGCAGAATACTAGTACTCTATTAAATGCCATATATGATAGCAAATTTCTATGGAGGAAATATATGACCTTTGACCTATAATTAAAATTATGCTTTTCTTTATTCCATTCTACAGTTATTTGTATTTATAATGTATTAAAGTTAAGCATATACATTTTTTTAAAGAGCAATTTACTGAAAACCAGTTTGTACTTGTCTGTGAGAAAAAAAGTAATTGCAAGTTTCCCAGCATTCTTTTACTCAAATATTTCCCACAGCAAACTATTTATTTCATTGTTTATTTATGTCAAATAACTGCTAGTGGTAAGGCTAGTCATCGCAGATAGATTTCAAACTGACGAATTAAGAATAAAAGTTGTTGCAAAGGAAGTTGGTTTACAGTAATGGGTGTACATGTATTTCTCCCAATCAAAATGGCTAAAAAATGAATATATCAAGTACCTGCAATGAGCAGGGTTGCAGTGGCACTAACAGATCCCATAGAGTTGGTGGCTGTACATATATAACTGCCCTGTTCCTTCCCAGTCACCCTGGAGAACATCAGTAATGTTCCCTCCTGTTTCAGTTCCGTTGTTCCACTCTCAAAGGATTCACCACCAGCCCTGGAAAAACAACGAAGAGACAACGACATAACGTTTCAGGTCTTTAACAATGGGACAACACCTCAGCATTGTTCTAAGTACAAACCTTGTCCATGTGACTGTTGGTTGTGGTTCTCCCGAGGCTCGACACACAAACATGGCACTCCCTCCTATAGTAGTGGTAGAGGTTTCCTCTGGATACAGTGTTATTGTTGGTTTGGATCGGGCTGAATCAAGAAATAATAAAAACTGAACAAGGGCACCACAAAAAGAGGAACATTCCCTTGCAATTTAGAGCACATTGACCCCAACATACATATTTTTATTTGCATAACTTCAATTACACGTGCACTCACTCCCCCCCCCCCCCCCCCCCCCCCCACACACACAAAAGTGCCTTACTATATCGATCCCCTTGAGCTTTGTTGCAAGGGGATAAAAAAGAGGCTGAAGATAAAATTAATTGCTCAAATGCTTCATTATACTGCAATTTTATTTAATAATATTTGTTCCAGTTCAAGGACACCGAAGAGAAAACCCTGAACTTAAAAATATACCCTTATACAAAAGTCTGATAGCTTACGCATAACCTCCACAATGACCCAGGCTTGGTCCGACCCAGCTGTGTTCTCTGCCACACACAGGTAAACTCCTCGGTCCTCCACCTGAGCTCCCACAATCCTCAGGGTTCCTCCGGATACCTACAATGACAACTCTCTACTCTACAATGACTATCTAAACAATAGTTTAAAGAACAAAAATTTTTATGTCAAAGGCTAACACTTAAGTTTTCCTTTTTAACTTTTTGAATTTGGTGTAACGAATTGTCCAGAGATTAAATTTACAAAAGTAATGTCAAGCATCTTTTTCTTTCGTATAATTACTGAAACATTTTATTTTCCATTAATAATGTTCAGTCATTACTGAGCATGTGGTCTGTTTACCCTGTGCCTGCTGGTCAGTTCCTCGCGACTCTTGCTCCATGTGATCGTAGGTTGCGGCGTCCCCGTTACCTCACACCTGATGGTTGCTGTGCTGCCCTGGTCTACAGTCAGTCTATTTTCTGGTACATTCACTTCTGCTGTTGGCCTCACAGCTGTTTACAAACACATACATTAAGTATGTCAATATCAAAAAGGGTTATGTTGAGCATGGTTAAATCAGAAACATGATTTGATTTACAGTAAGATATATTTTTTGCTAAATATTGGGCAGTTAATTGGATATAGTAGGGCTGAGCATCGGTTGAAAATTTCGTATTGCGATATTTGGAACTGTATTGCGATATGTATTGCAATATTTATTATAACAGTTAAAATGCTCTTTTCTTATTTTATTAACCTCCATTTATAAGCAGAGTGCATAAAACTTTTATAAATACGTGGTAACAAAAAAGTTCTAGATTTTGCTGGTATATTGATACTGGAAAAACGTATCGCAATACGATATTTTTTGTTAACGAATCGCAATATATCGGAATATTGATATTATTGCACAGGCCTAGGATATAGCATTGATTCATGTATATGGAAGCAAACAACTGTATGTAGAGGATTTTTGCCCCCATTTTATTTTGTCCCTTTCATACTCATCATTAGTAGAAAAATTCAATATGGAGCGAGTTCAACAGAGTTATCTTTCTCTTAACCAAAACTGGGCAAATCTAATACTGGGCTAGATCATTTGTAAGAGAGAGATAGGGTGAAAATATTACATATGGAGTAGAAATAATCCTGTGTACGTAATCAGTCAATTTTGGCTGTCCTTAGCAGTTTACACCTTTTAAAATACAAATCATTCACAAGATGGAAAAAGATACACATACTAAAACGCAATCAAGATGCTCTATAAGATATCAGTATGTCTTGAGAATATGGTGAGCAAATCATCTGTGGACAGCTTACAACTGAATAGAAGCAATGAGTCAACTTGATAAGTAAAAAAGTACCAAATTTAAACCGCACATTTTTTCTTGCTGACAATAGCCAGAGAGTTATAAATGCCAAAAAAAAATGCTGTCAGTGCTGTGTGTAATGGAGGAAAATAATACTTTGGTCTTACGTAAATTATCGGCCCTGACTGTGATGGACGCAGTGACTGTGCCTCTATCACCGACTGGTGTGATTGCAGTACAGAGGTACTGGCCGGCTCCTGACTGCTGGATGTTGGGGATAATGAGGACTCCATCTGTCTGTGTGGAGCCCGGAGGGAGGCCACCTTGTCGGGACCACACTAACTGTGCCTGTATTCCCTCTACATAGCAAACCAACTCGGCAGTGGTTCCGGACACCGCAACAACAATTACCTGTCTGACCTGCACATTAACATCTGGTCTGGTCTCATCTGCAAAGTATAACAAATCAATCAACTATTGTACATACAGCCATTTCATCATTATTGCCAAATTTTCAATATACCATGACAGCTTTAAGCTTCTTCCAACACGGGACCTACCTCTCTGAACATACAAGATGGTGCGTATCTCTGACATCCCTGCAACATTGGTACCTTTACAGTAATATTCTCCTTCATCAGTCATTTCTGCTCGTGGAAGTCTGAAGACACCATTATTGAGAACTGCGTTTTGGCTCATTGGATACCTGCCCTCCTTCCTTCTCCATTCGAGTGTGGGCGTTGGTCTGCCAGCAGTAGCCAAACAACGGAATTCTACTTCCTCTCCCTCCTTCACAGTCTGGTAGCGGGGCTCAATTCGAATTTCAGGAGGAGTTTCCGTGGCTGCCATAGATAAACAGACAGGACATATATACATGTATTAATTTTAAATTTGTAGACTACATTCTAGTACTGTATATGAATAATAGTTAATTCAATCTTACTCTCTTGTATAACAATTTAATGACAGAGAACTTGGAAACAGTTTATCAGAGCTGACATTTCATGACAGAGAACTTGGAGACAGTTTATCAGAGCTGACATTGTACCTACCACTGACAGTAAGGACAGCTACAGCTGTGTCTGTGTCAGTTATGTCAGAACCTGTACAGATATAGGATCCAGCATCTTCTGGTTGTACATTGGGAATCACTAAAACACCATTACGCTCCGTTGCTTTAGAGGGAACGGTGCCACCTTGTTTGGACCAAGCTAGTATGTAGGTCATCTGACAAAGGATAATCAAAACATTAATTTTTATACATATATATGTATAGGACTACAGGAGTTTACAGTATTCAAAATGTGGCTGATTTGTAAGATCAGTAAAAAGTTAAGAAACATTTAATATTATGATCATTGACTCAATGTCAAGGTCGAATATAAACTAGATAATTTTCTTTTATTGTTTGTAAATTTAAAGTAGATTTTCTAAAAATTTGCCATCTTCAAACTGAGTCCTGATACATTCATCCTACTAAAGGCTTACTGTGTTAGGTCCTGAAGCTGTGCAGACAAAGCGAACTGACTGACCCTGGTTCTTGACAACAGACGTTGGCTCATCAATTCTCACACGGATGGGCTGTTCACGACCTGCAGTACAGAAATATTTTTACTAAGTCTTTTATTAAAAGTTCTTCATAGCATTTTTAGCGAGAAAATTTTTCATAAAAGATACTGTATTTGCAAATGGAAAGTACATGTATGCTTTAATATTTATAATGTTTACATCAATACCTGTGACCTGTAGGGTCACAATTCGTCTGGTACTTCCATGCCTATTGGTGGCAGTGCAGATGTACTGTCCTGAGTCCGTCTGCACCAAATCTCTGATAGTCAGAGTGTGACGAGGGCTTACATTGGCTCGTAATGGAAGAAGCTGACGATTGGCTCGGGTCCACACGGCTGTGATTGGTCCAGGGCCACTGACCTCACAGGTGAATACGACTGTGTGACCTGCTGGCTCTTCCACCCTCAGTGGGCTGACCTCCACCACTGGCTCCAAGGTTGCTGTGCAAAAATAAATTCATCATCCATTAAGCAATTCTGTCAAATCTTACCTCTTTTTGATCATTTTTCATGTTTTTGTCAATGAGCAGAACTTATTATTCATGAATAAACTGTTTTTACCTCCAGCAACACATGACCCCCCAATAACTCTGGGATTGCCTGTGTAACCTCTTGCAGCATCACACCTTTAATAATTACACAAAATTAATATATTCGTCAAACATTTACATAGTCCAATTATACCCATTTTTTAAAAAACTTCAAACAAGGAGTACTAAACATGCTTCAGTAGTCTTGACATAGTTTATAACATACGTTCCACAGTCCCTTCCAAGGTAACCCTCTGGACATCTATCACAGGTCGGTAAGCCATCTGAACCCAGTCGACAAGTACGGGAGAATCTATAATAATATGTTACATATTGCTAATACAATAGCAAGTACACTTTGTACAAAAATACAGAATGGAGGTTTTTACTAGCTGTGTCATTTGTCTATATCTGAGATTTTATGAAATTTTTTTTCAAAAAAAAGTGTGAATTCAAGAAGTTTTAAATTTTTTGTAGTTCATGTTAAATTCTTGAACACTGAAAAAAAATACAGTATTTGCACAAAATTCAGATATTTATGATTCTGTTTAAAACAACTTTGATTTACAGCATACTGAGGCTTCATATGAAGTTTTCAAATTGCACTTTATTGTCCTTGAGGAAATTATAAAAAATCTTTAAGATATGATTTTTCCCTCCTAGTTCTAACTGACAGGTAAACAAACCAAATCAATAATTTCACTGTCTTCATTAAGTTATAACAGACTTACTGATTGGATGGCACGGTCAGAGGACAGGGACAGGGCCTGCAGTCTGAGGCAGTTCCAGAAGTGGCATCTCCATAGAAACCATCTGCACATCTCTCACACCTGTCACCAACCGTGTTATGCTGACAATTCTGTTATAAAAACAAATTACAATATTGTAAACTGTATAACATCTCAAAATTTTGTAATATTTTTGAAGTTTTCATAACCCCTTTTCGATTGTGGTGTTGTCCTTAATCTAGGGGCCACGTTTTGAGTAAATTTTTATCAACACTACATGAAGATGCTTTGATTTGACTATTATTGCCTTGCTATTCTTTAAAGACATTTTCATAATTTTTTTCATATACATGTAAATGTAAAATGTTTGATCAGCTAAGATAGCATCATCTGGCTCAGGGAAGCTAAAAATGAGCTATATATTTTTTTTTCTTTTGACTCTTGGCACCTACCAGACATTGTCCAGTGCCAGGATCACAGGAGTCGGCATGGTTGTTACAGCTACAGCGGACACATCTCCTCCCCACCCCATCCTCCTGTAGGAGGTAACCTGGGGCACACTGTTCACACGAGGAACCGGTGTGGCCCTCAGGACACTGACAGCTCTCCACCTGTGGCATGCGACCAAATGTGGTAGGAGTAGTAGTTGAGGTCTCCATGTACAAATCACGCAGCGAGGCGCTACCCATAACGGTGTGGTAAGTGGCTCTGATCAGAATGGCTTCAATGTTGGACAAAACAGACAAGAAGGTTTCTCGTGTTGGTGAAGTGCCATCCAGCATTCTGAATGTGCTCTGTAAGGACAATATTCCACAAACTTTTTAAATCATGCTTTTACAGGTTCTGAAGTTGTTTCTGCTGCATGATTTTCAACATCCTTACTGAGTCATTTGAATTCAGTGATAAATGATGATTGTTGCATTAAAACAAAATGAAAGTTCATGACATATATTTGTGGTATCTAATATATATGTCACGTAAAGAACTGAATTACTAAAGAACAAGTTTATCCATCATCTTACAAAACCCAAGAATTACACATGAAGTCACTTTACAATAGAAGTGTCGATAAAATAATTCCCTCAACTACAAGTTTATCATATTTATATCTTTGACAATAAATTCTGACCTCTACAAGATGAATTTTGTAAGTCTCTGGTTGATAAGGCTGTAGGGGAGGGTTAAACAAGTAATACATTCTTTGTTGTTGGCCTGGTGTCTGTAAATACAATTTATCCATGTACTTATTTATGAAAATAACACACACAAAATTAAACTATCTGAATTTCCCAATAACTTCATTTGAAAGACAATATGACTTACGATAATTTCCAAGTCCACATCTCTGAAAGTATTGCCTCCATCCAAAGCCACAACTGTCTCCAGGGTGAAACTCAGGTATCCTCCATAGGAAGTGACCTAGTTAATCATATTGTTCACTTACAATCAATGTACATTACCAAGGCAGAATTTTGAACTTCAAGAACTCCTCATACATTAAATGTCTATGTTATGTTATTCCAAAGAAAAGACAACTCTTTGTTCTCAACTCGTCTCCCCACCCTCCTTCTACCCCCAAAAAGGAAATGCTTCAAGGCGATTTTGATTAACCCAATACATCTCTTTACTTTACATGTAAAGTTCGTCTTAATCAGTTGAAGAGAGGCTGACCTTATTTCCTCTGAATTTAGGAGGGAGACTGAAGAAGAGGCTCTCGCGTTCTCTCTGGATTCCAGAAAACTGGTTGAACGTGATCTCATTTCTGTCAGTATTGATGTCAAAGCCATCCGTGATAGAGTTAGACAGACGACGATTGGTCAATACAAAGTTGTGGGTGTCAGCCCCAGACAAATTTGGATAGATCTGTTCAAGGTGAAAATGATACAAAAATAAGCTCTATGAAAATTTCCCATTTATTCTAAAGAATTAAATTGGTAAATGTCCCTTTGGAAAAATCTGTTGTCCTGACCCTGTCTTTATAAAAAGCTGAAGAGCTGCACTGGGTGGCCACACCTGAGCACCAACAAGACAAACAGCCCTGGGAATTCTCCTCACTCAGATGGAAGTAGCGATCTTTACAGAACCGACATCTTTGTCCTCGAACATTTGCCTAAAGAAATAGCAATTTTGTTAACAGACATTGGATTGATATTTGCAGATAGATCATGAATCAATACAATGAATGGTACAAGTCTAGCACCTGCTGCCTGCTTTTCTCATTAGGAAATGGGGGAAATTTGATAATATTACTGTATCTATTTTAAATGAACACTTATTGGTCATCCTATCATGCAGGTGATTTATGAATTGAGCTTATGATTCCCAACTACTTGATAAGTATCATGAACATGTATTAATACACAATAATTAATACTCACTTTACATTGACACTGCTTTGTCACTACGTCACATTGGGTGTTGGGAACTGTTCCTCGACTGTCACATTGACAATCTGGACCTGAAGCAGTTAACGATTCAAATTGTAAACATGTTAAATTTTCAAAATTATCAACAATAGAGTCTTCATTTTTACAGTCAGATTTTTATTTATATTTAGAACAGCAATTTTCCTTACAGTCTTCTTATGGAGATCTTACAGTAGTCTCCTGGCTGTAGACATATAGAGACAATGTCTAACCTGTAGAGATCCAACAGTAGTCTCCTGGCGGTAGACATATAGAGACAATATCTTACCTGTATAGATCTTACAGAAGTCTCCTGACAGTAGACATAAAGAGACAATGTCTTACCTATAGAGATCTTACAGCAGTCTCCAGGATGTAGACATATAGAGACCAATGCCTTACCTGTAGAGATCTTACAGTAGTCTCCTGGCTATAGACATATATAGGCAATGTCTTACCTGTAAAGATTTTACAATAGTCTCCTGGTTGTAGACAAATAATGTCTTATCTGTAGAGATCTTACAGTGGTCTCCTTGCTGTAGACATGATGTATATAAGCAATGTCTTATCTATAGAGATCTTACAGAAATCTCCAGGCTGTCAACATACAGAAACAATGTCTTACCTGTAGAAATCTTACAGTAGTCCCCTGGTTGTATTGGATTTCCTGTGTATCCCTGAATACAGCTGTAACAAAGGCAATGTACATGTATTTATTGTAAAAAAAAACCTAAAGACATTCTATCATCAGAAGCATCACTGCAATAACCTTTTTTCAGTGAGACAAAAACTGTGTTTTAACTTGCATACACAAAATAATGCAATCTTACTTGAAATAGAAAGTTTGCACTATTAAAAAAAAAAGACTAAAAAAGTTGACAGTCATAGCCCAACCTTTCACATCGGAGTCCCCTGTGCCCTGCTGGGCAAGCGGTACATCTTACTTGTCCATTTCTTGCCAATTCACATGTAGGACTGAATCTGTCAATAAATTCATTCATATTAAAGTACAACTATGAAAACTGAAAAACGCAAACAACATGCACGTACCTCATATAAATGATGTATCTGATAGACAATTTACATATTAGAGATGTATATTAATTGAAACAAGGAGCCTACTGATTGGGTGGCTGGGTAAGGGGACAGGGGCAGGGCTGGCAATCACTTGGGGTACCTCTGGTGGCATCACCATAGAAACCAGTGGCACAACGGCCACACTGCTCTCCATCAGTGTTATGTTGGCAGTTCTGACAGAAGATATTTTTATCTTAAATTTCTCAATTTACATCATTACATATGAATGAAAATTAATTCATACAACAATAGTTACTATCAAATTTTATAATAAATATAAAATTTCTCAAAAAAGAGATTTTGAGACTTACCCTACAGCGTCCTGTATCAGGGTCACATTCACTGGAATGGCCATTGCACTGACATGGTTCACAAGTCCCGAGATAAATACCATCGCCACGACGTGTATAACCCACATCACAGTCCTACCAAAGGTAGAACAAAAAATTCCATGTACAAATGTTATGTGTATCAATAGTCAGATGCTGCATTTTAGATCTGAGTTTTGTGGCATCTGTCACATGACAGCATACATGGATTAGGCAATGTTTCTCATATTTATAAGACACCAGCATTCAACTTACGATGTCAACAACAATGTTTAATTCATTCAAACTGAAAAGAATTTGTTGTTAATGATCCTTATTGATGGTTTTTAACAAAGCAGAAGAGGGCTCCATATGACAACTCATCATTCACATTTTAAAAATCTTAAAATATTATCTTCAACATCTAAAGGTAGGAATGTAAATAACATATTATGATCTTCAAAATACCGTATACAATATCTCTATTCAATCAAGAATTTAGCATATCTAGAAGAAAATGAACAGGTCTCACTAAACTTTTGAAATAAAATATTCACTAAAATAATCAAAGACAGCAATATCTCTCCTTCACTCTCATATTTAAAGACTATAATGGAAAACACATAAGACAGAATTGATAAACTTTGCTACCTCGCAGGACAGTCCTTTGTAACCTCTGGGACACTGACACTGCTCAACCGTGGATGCACGACCTTGACCTGTCACTCGGTCTTCTGCAATATCCATGACAACATCACGTATACTGAAAAAGTAATGTTTTGTACTTGATTACAAACATGTTCTCAAAAATCTAATTTTTCAGTAGTATTGTCAACAAATTATGAAGACATCAGCAAGTTTGCAACGAGAGGCATGTAGGCCTTTGTGGTCACCTGTGTTCACCATACATGTTTTCTTTTCTGAGCCACATTATCTGTTCCTTTTTTTCTCTAAATCTAAAAATATATTACCTGGCTTGATCTGTTTCTCTGGTGAATGTAGCTCTGATCAAAATAGCATCCAAATCTGCCAGGGCCATTAACAGAAATTCCCTTGATGTGCTTGATCCATCAAGACCAGTCCAAGCATTCTGTAAACAAAACAAACTCTTACAACTCTTTTACATGTTTATTATCTTACCTGAATGATTTTAAATGTAACATTCTTTTTTATCTTAGAAACTGAAAACAGAGACAATTATGTAGCTAGCTAAAAATCTTATATTACATCAAACATTTGATGATGAAAGGTTTTTAATTTTTTTTTTCAAGTTTGCAGTAACCACATTCATCTTTAGTGCATGCTGACCCTGTTTTACTCTTGACAAAAACCTACCTCTGTAAATGGCACTCTGTAGGAAGAGGGAGTGTTTGGTCGATGTTCCTGTGTAGATCTGTGAATCAATGTTACTCCATTTCCCTAGAGCACAAAATTTTATTTTTAATAGCTTGATCACAAATGATTCATTAATTGCTGTTGAAATACTAGGAGCAGCAATTCTTCAGCATAAGATACACACTTTCAATTACATGTAAATTTGGAATATCTCTATTTTGAAATTGATAGAAATTGAAATTTCTATTTCAAACTTTAGTGTTTTCGTTTTGTTTTGTTTTTGCAAATTTTGATAAATATCTGAAGATCACAAAACCTACAATGATTTCCACAAGAGGGCCGTCCAGCTGACTGGGTGAGGCATCTTGTCCCGGCCGGTACACCAATACAAATCTCAGGTAACCCCCATAGGACACCACCTATAAATATATAGTAGATTTAATTAAAGTCAACTCCATATAACACCACCTATGAAAACCATGTGCATATAACTCAAGTCAGTTTCTGACCTCACAGAAGTTTTCACAATGCTATCTACAATGTTCATAATCTCGACAATAATGAATGCTCAGAGCAAATGTTCAAATAACTTGATATTGTTCCTTAAAATGTACTTATTTGATCTAAATTCTCATATTGACCTTGTCTCCTAGGAAACGCTTTGGAAGTGACCAATAATACACAGTGTCTCTCTGGTTGCTAAAGCCCCGATAAACCAGCTCCCTGACATTGCTGTTGACCGTGAAGCCATCTGAAATTGTCTCCCTTTGAAGTAGATCTGTCAGGACAAAACCATTGCTGTTTCTTGTGAATGAGGAACCAATCTAGAAATAAAACAATTTAAAACTAATGTCAAACTGCTCTAACTGATAATCTCAATCAACAAATAAAATCATATATACATTTGGACCTTCATTCTGGCTGCATCTTGGCTAAATGCCTCACCCCACTCCAACCCTCCCTAAGCCAAAAAGTTAAAGACCCAATTTTTTTACCGTACGGTTACCTGAGAAGGGGGAGTGGTCTAGGAAGTACTGGTGTTATTTACCTGGAGAGCCCCAATACTCAAGATGTCAAAAATCCCTATACACGCTGCATTACACAGGAAGTCCGGCTTTTGGTAATCAGGGTCAACATTACGCGTTTTGTGCATAATTTTGAGTGAAAATATTTAAAATAAATTAGGTACTGAAATATAAAATTTGTAGACTTAGCGTTTTCGTCATTATCTTTTGAATAAAAAAAAAATTAAAAAGACATATCTTTTTTAAAAATCGTAAAATTAATAATAATAAAAAAAAAAAAACGGGTGAAAACTACGAAGCAATCATATCAATATTTTAATCGCCAATAAACTGATAAAAGAAATTATTATAAAACATTAAGTGTGAATATTAAAATAAAAAGATTCCACTTATTGTGTGAACATTTACCACATCGGAATATTATTTACTTTTCTGGCGAACGATTGTGTCCAAATATTCGCCATTTCCGAGGGTCCGTGTTCTTGTGCCCTGTTTACAGATTTGGACATAAAAAGAATCTTTCGTAATTCATGGCGTTAGATACAAGATACTTTATTTATATTAGTATAAACATCTTTTCTTATTTAATCCATTGCATTTTGTTATAATATTCAATGGTGGGGGAGGGGGTCGATTGTTTCTAATTACAGCGAATTGAGTTTCTGTGTAGCCAAGTGCAAGGTCGACAAGTGCATTACATACATTCTTAAAATCAAGGCACAGGTTGAATAAGGGGCTCGGAAGAATTATCGGTCTGTGTTACTACAGAAACTTCTTCTCTCTCTCCGGATCTCAGTTACTGCATGAAAGAAGAGAGGGCTTGAATATCCGCTAATTTTTCTTCGAAAAGTTCTACAATTATTTTGGACGTCATACCGCTAACAAGTACAAAACAGCAGTGGAGATTGAAAAAAAAAATCACGAAGTCACTGTTTAATTATCTACTCTCAATTATTTTTTAAAAATAAAATTATCAACCAATATAACAGCGACATGATTTTTTTTTTTAACCAAAGTGTATACAAAGCGACCATTCATGCGGCACATGAAAGCGTTTGACGCGTGACCAGGTAATTGTTTTCAAAACATGCAAACTCAGATTATCAGGTAGCCCTCGTAGCTGGCCCGTCAATCAAATCAGAAGCTATTGTTTTTTTAATGATTGACAGGCAGTATATTATTGATCTTGAATTAGGTAGATTTTGGGGGCGTTAACATAAAATTGGGTGTTTAAAGAAATGCAACTTCACCTGCATCTAAACTTAAATATCAATCACCTCTCAATTTTTATTATAATTCAAGAATCAAACTGACATAAAATCTGAAAAAAAAACACAATTAACATTTTCATATACACGTACAAGGACCTACAATAAAACAAAAATCACCAAGTTTCATGCGTTACAAAGTGGTAAGGAGGTGAACTGCAATCTTCCCATTTTTCATTTTAAAACAAGCTGTTCTGCAAGTCTGGCACACAAACTACCTGAGCTTTATTCCAAGAAGTGCTGGTACATTGGGTTGTGACTCCCATGCAGAAACAACGCAGACAGCCAAAAGGATTGGCAGCATCCAGATGAAACGTGTTCTCCCTGCACTGGTCACAGTTCTTACCGACAACATTAGACTGAAATAAAAAGTAATTAACACAGGCTTTAAATACAGATCACAAGACGAGACTGCTTCATAATAAGACTCCGAATTGGCAATATTTTTTTAAGTGAGTACAACAGGTGACCTTACCTTACATCTACAGACACCGGTCACAGGGTCTGGTTGTCTGCTGTAACTGCCTCTGGAGTCACATATATCAGGCACTGCAATGTATCAATATTTTATCAGTATCTCAAATACCGTGGATATGTTGAAGTAAGTTTCAAGTCCCAACCACTTTTTCTTTATGTATTTTATTTTAACTTCAACATTTCAAATCTTTGAATATTATAGTTTTTTCTTGGTACCATTGAGATTGAGATGATGAGGTTTTATTGTACATTACTTGAGATCTAACATTCACCCCCTCCCTTATTTTCTTACACAGCCATAGACTTACAGTTGACTTTTCGGCAGTAGTTTCCTATGATACTGGGCTGGCCAATGTATCCTTCTGCACATCTCTCACAGTTTCGCCCGGTGTAGCCTGGTTTACAGGCGGTACATGTAGGTCTGCCATCAGAACTCAGGACACAAGTCTCACTGAACCTGTAACAGAAGATAAAACCTAACATGGCTGACACAAAAAAAATGCAAACAGCTCTAATTTATGAGTGCACAAATTTATGAGCTGAAAGTGCATCAAACCTGCTTTAGTGACCCAATTTATTAAGCAACTTCCTGCCAAATGTGACTGTAAAGGTCCTCAATAAAAGTTTTCTTATTTGCAATTGTGAGAGGCAAAAATAACATGGGGCCAAAATAACCCTGATACAGTAGTTTAAAAATCAACACACAAAAATAAATGGATGTTTTATAACATTGTGTCAGTATTTACAATTACATACTGGTTTGTTGGTGTGGTTAATGGACAAGGGCAGGGCTTGCAAGCATCAGAAGTTCCAAGCGTGGCATCTCCATAGTAACCAACAGCACAACGCTCACATTGTGCACCTTCAGTGTTGTGATTACAGAACTAAAATGAAATTTACCTCTAACATTATACACCGTTCATATACAGTCATAAAGAAATCTAGAAAACAGCCATGACTGACATTCCTTCATAAGAACTCACCCTGCAGGCTCCAGTGATGGGATCACAGTCCGCTGAATGTCCGTAACAGTTACATCTGGTACAAATCCCCAGGTAGGGACCTTGCTGAACTCTTGTGTAACCTGGGGCACAGTCCTATAACCAAACAAACTCTCAATTAACAGATTACTTTTATTCTAAATCAAACATGTTATCTATAAGTACAAAACATCTCTTGCAGAGAGTGAACTGATTGAAAAGAAAGGCCGCAGTTTCCAGATACAGATTCACACTTCTCTGAGAGTGACCCAACTTGAAGGAGGGGTCAGCACTTTCTCTGACAGTGACCTACCTGACAAGAGAGTCCAGAGTAGCCAGGAGGACACTCACAACTCTCCACATACACAGCTCTACCAAGACCTGTTGATTCCCTTGCACCACTGCTCAACTCTATATTGCCAATCCTGAAATCAGTAAATCAAGTTCTCATAAACCTATGTAATTGCTTACGTAAAGAAAGGCGAAAAATGTTTCCTCTATTATCTTTTCACAAAAACCTGAAATTTAATGTAAATTTTTGGTATTCTATCAGTTTAACACACAATAAGTTGTCTGTCTTCAATACCTTGTAAGTGCCATGCTCGAGTCATAGTGAGATCTAACGTAGATGTATTCCAGGTTCTCCAGTACCATCATGAGGTCTTCCCTGGTAGCATATTCCAGCACAGGTGTGTCCCCTCTTCGAGGCATGTCACCTTTTGTCCAAGCACTCTGAAATACCCATCACAGACTAGGTTGAAGAACTCTTTTTTTTTTTCATGGAATTGTAATCTTTGAGATTAAAGAAAAAATACTGAAAAACAAGGCTTACCGGCAGCAGAGGAACCTGAAAGCGAGTCAGTCCCTCTGGTCTGGCAATGGTTGACGCTCTGTGGTAGATTGTGATGCCATTTCCCTGAAAATCAAAAATTAGAACCATGAAGATTACCTGCCAGTCTGTCAGTCATCAATCAATATCCTCCTCTCTCATTCAAAAGGTACAACTTACCCTCATAACCACATCTGCTTGATCCAAAATTTTAGACTGACCTCTCCCGAGGGAATAGAAAATATCATACTGAAGACTCCCTCCATAACTTGTAAGCTAAAATATTACATTTTAATTAATAAAACATTTTAAGTGGTCCTGCATTGAAAAACTCATGAAAAAGGGTATTACACAAAAATTGCTTCGCTAAGAATTAACACATTCCAGAATTTACCCTATCCCCTAGGAACTCTCCCGGAAGTGACCAGTAGTAGATCCCTGGGGGCACCAGTCGTAGTCCATCTCCCACCTGATAGAAGCCACCATACTCCCCTGAGGGAAGGTACTCCACATACCGAGAGTCAATAGGTAGTGAAGAGTCCACATTCACCATCGTAAGTTCACCCACTAGATCAATCTACAACATCCATACAGCAAGTGTTTCAATGAAGTTGACAGCATATTCTAAAAATCAGACTTAATTTTCTTAGTAAGAGGTCCTGACCTTTGAGATTTGTAAATCAGAACTGTAACACTGGGTAGTGTGGCCAAAACAGAAGCAGTTGATGCAGTCTGTGTCAATGGAGGCTTCCACATTGAATCTAGGAGGTTCACAAACACCTTGTGGGGTACCTAAAATCAGGGCTTATAATTTGGTATCTATGCAGTATGAGTTTCTTTGTCATAAATATTGTTTTCTATGTTTTCAAGCAAGATGTATTTCCATTATTTCTAATTTTCCCCTTGGAAGCTGAAATCTTATATTTACACTGGAATATGGAAAAGCAAGCATTGTCTTGATTTAACAATTAAATAACAAGCAGATTAAATAAGTTAGCATCATCTCCACTCAGCACAAGATTATGCCCAATGTTCACTAACTTCACTGAGAAAAAAAAAGGGTACAGTATTGTATTTCTGCATACATTCTTAGAAAGGGTTGTGTTTGTATAACACCATGTCCAATTACAAGGGCATGCCCCAAATTGAGAAGTCCTTGTTATCACACATTCACCAGCTAGCAATCTTCCTCTGCATCAAAATGTCAGAATGTATATATGACACATAACTAACACTATAAATCATAAAACCAGATCCACAAATCAAATCACCAAGTCTGAAACATTTACAAATCCAAAAGGATAACCATGAAATGAAAATGATGAGCAACACTGTACTCCACATGTATCTGATGTTGATCAACAAAAGCTTACACCATCTACATCACCAGCAATGTCAATATGGTCCTACACACAATACACTGTTACATATTTCTTACAGTTTGGCCAGGTGCAAAGTCTTTTACAGGCCAGATGTTTCCCATGTACAGACAGACAACGTATTGTGTCAAATCTACCATAACCAACAATTTCCTGCACTCTTTCTACAAAAAAGTCAACCTCACATAATATAAAAATTATAGACCATTGTCCATCCAATAATCTTGAAGTATTGTTTTTCTTATTTGCTATCTGTTTTATTTTAAATAATCAACTGTCATATCTACATCTTTGAAATGCATTTTTTCTTCCGTTGCTGTTACGATTTGAGAGTAATATAGACATACCCTGTTTAAGATCATGGTGATGATGATCATATCCAATGTGGCCATATAATTCTATAACTTTATTAAAAAAAAATTTAACACATGACATATCTGTAATGTAAACCAAGCAGAAGAAAAGAACACAATAGTTTGATATAAACACCTTCCATTAGTATCATCCAAAAATTGAAACATGTTTCAAAATAATTACATATTTTGTTTTAAAATGACTTGACATTAAAAATGTAGGATTTTTTTGGCCTTCCATTATTAAATTTCTAATAATATTATAATTGCACCTTTGAGAAGAATACATGATCATATACACCAGTTAATCATGCCATTCTATTGTCCTGTATAAATATGATTGGAGAGAGACATATTCATTAATACCTTAATATTAAACAGCATCATTTCCCTAAGATCATCTCCAACCATAACCAACCACTATACAGTGCATATGAAAATATCAACTGCGTAGAAATAGTGAATAAACAAATCTATCTCTCCAATAAAATGAATACAAGATACCCTTTATTAAAAATATAGCCAATCCTGTCAGAGCACAGATTTCTTCTCAAAACTTTCAACACAAAACCTTACAATAACCCAAACAAAAAGACTGAAACTTTAAAGCATGTATGGCAGCCATATTCTCCTCACCCAGATGAGCCCATCCCCACATTACCTTGGTACTCTTGGCGAGAAAGGTCGGTGACCTTTTTCTCACCAACCACAACAAACTCTGAAAGAAAATGTCATGACATACTCTTTACCTACAATGAACTCTTTTTCTGACCTCTCTCTTGGAAAAGTATGTAAGCAGAGTATTATGCTTTGCTGTTTTTCAATGATATGGTCATAAAGTCAATTTATTAAATACTTATATCTGCACAAAAAAACTTTTCTATATCACTGTGTTATTCAATTTTCACCAATTTTCAAGCTTAAAGTACCACCTTGCTAAGATACATAGAGAATATTAATTGTTAATGTAGAAAAGCCCACCAAAAATGACACTACCTGTCAAAATAGTCTACACCGGTACTTACGTCTTACAATAATGATTGCATCAGGAGATGCAAATACGCTTCCTCTGACGTTAATGGCTTCACAAGTGTAGGCCCCAGAATCCTCTATTCTGGCATCTGTGATTGTGAGGTTACCCCGTCCATTGACACTGGAGACATATATCCTGTCCCCTGTTGGAATGTTCCCCCAGTTTAATCTCCACACAATCAGTGGGGTGGGGACACCCACAGCCTCACAAATAATGGTGAAATAGCCACCCACTTCTACCTCGATATTGGGGGGAGGAGCAACATTTATAGTGGGTGCAGCTAAAAGATATCAATTGAAAAATTCAATCACTATAAAATTCTTTAAAACACATGAAAGAAAACAAATAAATTCATTCAAATGACAAAAAATTCTTTAGAATACATCTATCAAAAAAAAAAAACAAACAAAAAAAAACAACAATATAAATATTGTTTCAAATACATGTGAAATTTTTTTATCTCTTATTTAGCATTTATTGACATTGTGGACATTGTGGTAATGAAATTTTCCTTACCACAGCCAATCTCATCTGATCTGTCCTGACAGTCAATTTCTCCATCACACTGATACGAGGCTGGCACACACTGGTCCCCGGATGTACACTGGTACTCCTTAGAATCACATGGGTCTCCGGGACGTCGGGTGGCTGATATAAAACACAAACAGAGCTTATCTTGGAGTCATTTATTAACGTGGGGAAATGCAAATTGAATGTTCAATTAATTTATCTTGGCCTAATAAAATGTTAAGTGTGCTTGAATTGATTACAGATTGAGTAAAGGACTGTAGATCCCAATTTATATTAAATGTATGTTCGATCTAAGGGCAGATAACTCTAACAATATAAAAATACTACACTGTATATGATTAGAACTCTTTAGTGTGCAGTGTATACTGTGGAATCATCATTGTAGGAGAGGAACCAATGCTCGTGGAATTTATATATATCCTTTACCCATGAATTTACACCCTCACAAACGTTTTTGTAAACATATTGATTCATTGATTCTACTGATAAACGAGCATCCCACAAAATTTCATCCCCACGAACAAGTAAAATTTTGCTTGCCCACGAACATTGACCCCAACGAATTAAAATGATTCCACAGTAGATGGGCCTATGATGTGTACGTTCAGAACTTACGGCAATTCTGTTCATCGGAATCATCTCCACAATCATTATCTCCATCACAACGCCAGATCTTCATAGCACATCTTCCATTGGAACACTTGAATTCATTTGGTTCACACAACTTCTCGACTGTAAATAAACATGCAAGTCCATAATATTTAAGAATAGGTATAAATATAAATTATCTATTTAAAACATGATATATATCAACATCAACTCGGTACATGCACGTCAAATTCATTAAATTCATTTGATAAACATATGAATCTAGAACAATTACAAAGTAACTTATGAAGAAGTAAATGATTTTAAATTTTACATAAATAAAGCACACAGTACAAAATCTTGTCAGGACTAATGGCTTTTGACAAACAATTAAAAACATACCATCACAATAAGTTCAAAGGATTGAAATGGGTTAGTAATTATATTTATTTTTTGTTTATTTTGCCCTCTAGCTATTGCTTGATACTCAGATGAGGACTTTTTTTTATTTGCCCTCTAGCTATTGCTTGATACTCACTAGAACATTTTTTGTTTATTTTGCCCTCATTTTTTTCTTGATACTTACAGTTACAAATGCTTGGATCTTCATCTGAGCCGTCTTCACAGTCCTGGTCCCCGTCACACCGGTAGTCCGCATTGATACACTGTAGGTTCTGACACACAGCCTCCCCGGGGCGACAGATTCCCGTGGGAGGGAGAGTAGGGGGAATCACTACATACAGAAAAAGTTTGTCAAAAAAATGTATTTAAATTGTTGTACCCTTTATAAAAGTATATATGAATAAGTCTGACAAAGCTTCCAAGTATATTCATCATCACATGGTACAAGTTAAAATACGTGGGGTTGTACATCTAGTGTACCAAAAAAACTTCCATGATTGTACATCTAGTGTACAGAGAAAAGTTACATGACTGTACATGTAGTGTACAGAGAAAAACTTGTATGACTGTATGTCTACTGTACAGAGAAAAGTTACATGACTGTAATCTAGTATACAGTGAAAACTTACATGACTGTACGTCTAGTGTACAGAGAAAACTTACATGACTGTACATCTAGTGTACAGAGAAAATTACATGACTGTATGTCTATTGTACAGAGAAAACTTGCATGACTGTACATCTAGTGTACAGAGAAAACTTACATGACTATACGTCTAGTGTACACAAAAAAACTTACATGATTGTATGTCTACTGTACAGAGAAAACTTACATGACTGTACATCTAGTATACAGTGAAAACTTACATGACTGTACGTCTAGTGTACAGAGAAAACTTACATGACTGTTCATCTAGTGTACAGAGAAAACTTGCATGACTGTACATCTAGGGTACAGAGAAAACTTACATGATTTGCAAGTCTTAGTGTACAGAGAAAACTTACATGACTGTACATCTAGTGTACAGAGAAAAACTTAAATGATTGGTACATCTAGTGTTCAGAGAAAACTTACATGACTGTACATCTAGTGTTGCAATGGCAAAGTATCTCTGTTCCTGCCCTACCACGGAACACATGTAAGATCCGGAGTCTGGTAACTGAAGTTCTGGTATAGTGAGAATGTTGTTCTCTACTGAGGCTCGGAAAGGCAGGGCTGTCTGATTTTGATTAAGAAATAAAATGCATACAAGTACACGTACATGAAATAAAAATAAACCAGCTAGAACAAGTTAACCTTGTTTTCAAAACATAATCTAAAGTTCAGTCAAAGCTTAATTTCTTTCTACTCAGTCAAAACAAAATACCCAGTACTCAGTATCCTTATTTTAAGTAAAAATTATAAATTCTTGAATTCAACGAAAACAAGATATGCTTTCACTTCATCAGAACAACATAAATGATTAGGTTTCTTTGAATAATATACAGGATCAGTACCCCATTGCTGCTGCGCCTGGTCCATCGAAGAGGAACAGATCTGGTGGCCTGACACTGGAACTGTGCCTGTCGCCCCTCCCTCAGTCTCAAACTGGGGGGTGAAATTGTGATGATAAGGGGTCGCTGAGGTGCTACAGTAGTGGTTGGTACTGTAAAAAGAAACAAACATCATGTTAAATTATAAGCTTGGTTCAGTTATAATAATACATTTTACATGTATATACTGGTATGTACATGAATAATATTGTAGATGACTTGCAAAATCTTTCCCAACTTCAAATTAAGAATGCATTGTCTGGTTTATCTAGAGTTTAAATTATTCCTTAGTAAAATTGCAAATAATAACAACCTTCACCCTCAAAAAAATTGAGAAAGTTTGATGATACTGTGTTGGTGCATATCATACAGAGAGCATTATAAATTAAAAAAAACATTACTTGATTCCACAAATCCCAGTAACAGTGACCTTTTGGGTTGTGATGCACCCTCATATCAAGAGGCATAAGTTATGATGGTGAAGTGATCCTAATCTTCACCATAAACAAACATCTAGTGTAATAAGAGAACTTACAAGACTACACATCCAGTGTAATCACAGAACTTACAAGACTACACATCCAGTGTAATTAGAGAACTTACAAGACTACACATCTAGTGTAATCACAGAACTTACAAGACTACACATCCAGTGTAATTAGAGAACTTACAAGACTACACATCTAGTGTAATCACAGAACTTACAAGACTACACAGCCAGTGTAATCACTGAACTTACAAGACTACACATCCAGTGTAATCATAGAACTTACAAGACTGTACATTTAGTGAAGTAAGAGAACTTACAGGACTGTACATCCAGTGATGCAATGGCATAGTATCTTTGTTCCTCTCCTACCACAGCACACACATAAGATCCTGAGTCTTCAGATCGAACTTGTGGAATTATTAGAATGTTGTTTTCTACTCTGGCTTGAAAAGGCAGAGACTGCAGGAAAGAAAAGATGGCAAGTTGTAATAATGCCTTTCTATCCCATTCTATATTAATCTGAAAATACTACATACATTTCACTATATTTTTCATGTACCAAAACTTGGAATATTTTGCAAGAATTTTTAATAAAACCGTTGATTTTAAATTTGTCAATACAACATGGAAACCAATTGAGCTTTAGTTGAGTGACAAAGAAATACAAAGTGTTATGAAGGCATATTTACAGTTTTTAATGGAACATGAACTGCTATTTATGTATCCAAAATTTTTAATATCAGAAAAAATGAAGGTTTATAAATTTCTGTTATTCACATTTGTGTTGGAAAAACTATTTTTAAAAAAAGCTCTGATTGAAGCAAATAACATTATCAATTATTATATTAAGATAATTTGATTTATAAAATAACATTATTATTTATTTATATATTACTACACATTCTAAAATACAGAATTTTTTTTCTAATAAAATTGAATGCTTAGTTTAGTCTTATTGATCATAAAAATTTTAAGTTACATGCTAAATCATACAGTCATGTAAGAGCCCATTTTGCCCTCATTCAAGGACATATAAAATTATTCTCTAGTTTGACTTTGAGCTTGAATACTGTTTGTTATCTCCATATTTCATTTAAGAGTTTTATAGAAAAGACTGAAATTAAAATCAAGAAATATGAGGTCAAGGTCATATTTTATCAGATATTTTAATCCTAAATGCCATGCCAAAGAGGAAAGACTGACAGAAGATGGGCATGAACAACACTGGCCAAAGTCGAATTATTTAACAACCATAAAACAATGATCATAATACACTACATTAAATAAGTACCCCAATATTGCTGCGTCGACTCCAGCGCAGTGGGACAGATCTGCTGGCCTGGCATTGGAATGAGGCCTGTTGTCCCTCCCTAAGTCTCAGGCTGGAGGGGGCCACTCGGACAATCACAGGCAGTTCTGTGGTTGGTGCAGGGGTGGGGGCTGTGGGCATATTAGTATACAATATCATTAGATATACATGTAGTTAGAAGCCTGGTTTGGAAAGATACTGGGTAAGAAAAGAAAGCCTGTACATGTATTGTGCAAGTCGAAGCCAAACCCTGATACATATTTTCTTTTTCTCACGCAGTAATTTTCCATATCAGGTCACTATATCACTGCAATGAAATTATTCCATGGAAGACCTTTCCAATGGGAAAATAAACAATAACATCACAGTCTATGTTGATTACAAATTTTTTTTCAATCCAGACCATCTTTTTTTTGGTTATAAACTGTTGATCTGTATTTAACCTTTGATGCTGCTGAAATACCTTTTCTGAAAATATGAAAAAATTTAAATTTAACCTGTCATGCATGTAAAAATATAGGAATATAATATGTCGTCTGCCTAAATGGTGGTTCATTTCAAGCAGAGGTCACCATTTGCAAACCTTGATATCTGATATGAAATTACACACCCGATATTAATAACTGAGGCTCAAAATGGAATTTTAATTGAAGTAGGGTAATAAAATTGAAACTGTAACTTTAGTATGATAAACTAAGTGTTTGGCTAAATACAGCATCATCAGTTAGAATAAAAAGCAGTTAAATTTTACTTTGCATGATAATGCTAAAGGAGTGATTTGACTAAAGCTTAAACTGAATTGATATTTTTTAGGCCAAATTAATTTAAATAAGAAGCCATTATGAAAGTGTGATGTTGAAAAGTATGAAAAAAAATTTCTAACTTTAATTAAGACAAATTGCAGTGAAGCTTACTTTAAAAATAAAACCAGTAAATTATATGCAACTATAGTGTTAATTAACTGAGTGCAAATACATGTACTCCATAAATAAACATGCTTTTTTAATAAATACACAATTCATCAAAACACTAAAATTATGTGCTAATAAACTACTTAAAAGAGATAAGTAATATTCTAATAAAAGTAAATAAATTAAGTATCTCTAGTAATTGCATAATACTTGAATGTACATGTATATCTTTTCAGTCATCCTCTTGGTCATTTTGTCATTTATTTCTATTACTGAAGTGAATAGAATTATATCATGTACAGTAAAACATGTTTATAGTGAACACGCTTATAATGAATTGACACAGTTACAGTCAAGTGATTTTCATTCTCTGTGGCTTTAAAATAAATTGTACAGTAAATTGTGAACTTCATGGACATTTAAATTATATTTAAAATGAGGCAAAGTTGTCCATCCCTGGCACTTCTTTATAAGCATGTTTTACTGCACTTTTTATTTCTACCACAATTATACGGAAAATCATCAGAAATCGTTTCTATTTTTCAATGAATCTGACAATTAAGATGCCTCCTTCAAAATCTCCAACCCTCCTCTGATCCTTTACAAGAATTCAGTCACTAGTAAAAAAAAGAAACAAGGTGTAGAGAGAAAGAGAGTTCACACACAGAGACAGACAGACATGCTACAACCAATTTACAAAGTTTAGAATTTGCTGTGTTAATCAACAGACACTAAAACTTATGAATGGTATCTCAGAGACTGAAGTCAACCCAAATGGACTATATGCAACAATGCATGCCCTGCACATCCCTGTAAAAAAAATTCTCATTAACTAATTTGACTGGCAACACAAAGTGCATGCCAACACACACTTGTTTTTATTTTACAAAATTTAAAAATACCTAGTAAATAAATTCTGAGCAAGATTTCTTCACGGTTTTGTGCATTTGACTTCTATTTTTTGAAATTTATGCCAATATCCTTACATCAAAATAGCATATCAATTTAGCCTTCCCACATATAGTCCTTTAAGCCCCTTTCACATATGTCCAACAACAAGTCTACAACATCTCTACAACAGAAAATGGGTATAGTTCCTAGGACAGTCATAATGGTGTGTAATACACAAATCTAGGATTCTAACTATGAAAAAATGTCAGAGATCCTTGTCATAGAATTTTTTCTTGTGACGATCATTGAGGATAGAATCACACGACTATCATGGGAACATTTAAATATTTAACTTCAAATAATCTTGACATACAGTATTTTCCATTAAGGGTCTCACAACATGTATTTTAAATGTGAAGGCAGCATACAATTTCCTCTTTTGAAACAACAACCATTTATTTTTCTCTCATAGCCACTCTAAATTTACTACAATAAATTGTATGTGAAAGGGGCTTTAACACATAACAAAAAAATTGACAGAGAGGCAGTTCACATTAAAATAAAACAAAACAAAACACACACACATGACCATTTCTTACTCATACACAATTTACAATCAAATTTAACTAACTGAGGAACCTAGAAGAGACAGATCTAGGTAAGACAATTAATCTAGGTCACACTGACCCAGATTCTGTCTTAGAGCAGACACACACATAGAACAGAACAGCAGAGTCAAACCTACTCAAGACATCTTACTCACAGTTACACAGAATTTCATCAGAGCCATCAGGACAGTCAAAAAAACCGTCACAGCGCTTGATAGCCTCCACACAGCCCCCTACTGTACACTGAAACTCGAAGGGGGTACAGCGCTCCTCTTCTTACAGACACAAAACACATGGACACATTTAACATGACACAGGTTCATTATGATTTACATGAAAACAATTAGTTACATGTTGTACACTGTGAGGATTTAATAAACATGAAGTGTGAATTATGTGTAGATATGACAAACTATAGGTGCAAAAAAGCATTAATATTAACAATCACACAACTATTAATACTGGTAAATGTACTTAATTATGATCATTTTTAACAATGATCCTTGCAAACTGCTTTTTTCATATTATTTTCCATACAAGCTCTTTTGGATGAAGAGTTTACAAGGGGGGTTCAAGGTAAAGGTACACTAACAAATGTAAACTTTTTATTCATTTAATTTACATAATGAAATGGTGATCATCTGTCTGCATCCTCTAAAAATACTTTAAAATAAAAATAGTGCAAATGAAGACAAAAATATGTTTAATACTTACGACAGTCAGTTTCATCACTGCCATCTTGACAATCTCTCCGCCCATTACATCTGTCAGATCGCAGTACACATTTCCCATCCGAAAAACATTTGAATTCATCAGCACGACAAGCTAAAATTGTAATCAATATATTCAGCAAAGTCCATAAAAAGATTCTCAAAAGAACAGCTTTTAATCTGTCTGAAAAATTGAGCTGATTTACAATCTAGTACAAAAGACCATAAGCCCACTGTTGCCAATTTGAGATTTACCCGAACTTGCATTTTAAAGAGACATCTTGGGGGAAACATGCTATTAGCGTGTTCATCATTTTCCCATGAATAGCAGTAATAGAAATCTGACATACATTCAAACTACATCATCAAACCTTCTCCTTTTTCTTAAAAACCTGTCATAATTTTATCTCCCCCCCCCCCTTTCAAGCAAATATTCATCATGTTTTATACAATTGACAGAGAACTTACGACAATCTCGTTCATCAGAGCCATCAAAGCAGTCTCTGATCCTATCACATCGTCTCCTAATGTCTATACACTGTCCACTTGCACATGTAAATTCTGTGGACTTACTACAGGCTGTAATAAACAATGTCACTCATTATAGTACCCACATATATAGAAACATTGTACAAAATGTACACATGTATAAAGATCAACACTGAATGATTCAGCATATACTGTAATATTGTTTATTTTCATGGGGCCAGATTTTCCTGGTTGGGGGAAAATATTTGGTTTGTGGTGATTTGAAAACAAAACATGTTTCTCTAGTTTGACATTTCAACATTTTCGTGGAGAACATGAATTTGTGGGTCTCTTCATACCTTGAAATCAACAGAAATTTAAAAAACCCCATGAAAATTAGTGATTTCACAAAAGGCCTAAGAGGAGCAAAGAATTTTTTTTTTGTATTACACACAGAGAAACATGACAGATGTCTATAAATACAGATGTAAAAAACAAAATGTTGACATTGACTCATCTCTAAGTGCATGCTTTTACTTTGAGGAAAATAAATTGATACTGCTTGTAGAAAACCTATGATATCACATGCTAAACTTGAACAAGACAGACAGAAATGCAATGAACACACTAACACAGCAAGACAAATTCAGCCAACTTTAAAGCTTAAGCTAAGATCACACAGTACCAACTCTACTTCAGTACATGTATAAACAAACCCTAAATACACCCCCATTTCTCCCAAGTAAAGCTTTGTATTTTTTATGGAAAGTTTCTCAGATTGATGCTCACGTATGAGTAACAAAGTGAATTCAAATAAGCAACAGTTACGAAGGACAACCAGAAGTCTCTGACGAGACTTTAGCTCTACTGGTGCATACACATAGTAGAGATGTATCTTAATTTAGTCTACATTTGTATACTTTTAGTAACCATGTCAAGACCATTTGTCGAAATCAAAAACAGATACACATTATGTATCTAAGTATGGTCTACTTGTGTACAAAGTCTAATTGAAATTGGCTAAAACTATAAATGGAGTAGCGTTTTGAAAGGGTTTCAAAGAAATTTATTTTTAGTAACCATGGCAACACTGCTCGTCAATACCACAAAACGATAATCAGCATTACGTATCTTAATATTTCCATTTCTATTTGTTTTCTCTGTGATAACTCTTTGAAAGTTAGGAGAGTTGATTTCTTGATCATTCTAACGGCCGGAATGCAAATTTTGCCAAGTGAAAGGTCAGTAGCTAAGAAGGCCTAATATGCATGTAATTCTCGTGCGGCTGTCTTTGTGTCTGACTCTAAGGAGGCCTAATATGCATGTAATTCTCGTGCGGCTGTCTTTGTGTTTGACGTCAGTGGGTGGGGACTATTGAAATTGACATGTGAGGCCTTATGTAATTTAAATCTATTAGTCAACATTTTTAAAATCTAAATTTACAATTTTATTTCAAAATGAAATGGAAATATAAGGAATCACTGTCTAGTTAGTAGAGTATACCAGGGACATCAACGATAATTGGAAACGTGGGATAATTTATGCACAACGGGCTTTGCCCGTTATGCAAATTATCCCACGTTTCCAACTATCGTTGATGCCCTGGCATACTCTACTAACTAGACAGTTATTCCTTAAGTATAGTCTTATAGTCTACTTCTGTACCAAGTCTTATTGAATTGGACCAACACTGTAGGAGGCGTAGCATTTTGAAAGAATTTCAAAGAAATTTCTATTTTTAGTAACCATGGCAACATGTTTGTCAAAATCAAAAACCAATAAAGAGAATTATGTATTTTTACTATAGTCTACTTGTGTACCTAGTCTTACTGAAGTTGGACCAAAACTGTAGGAGGAGTAGCATTTTGAAAAATTGTTTACAGATGGACAGATAGATAACAGACACCTTACTAATGCATAAGCTCTTCTGGTTTCTGACCAGTAGAGCTAAAAATGAGTATTTTCTAATCTTTGTGCCAGTAGCATACAATATTTATACTTGTACTTCTTAGGTTTTGCTCATTATAACACATAAGTTGGGTAATGAAAACTAAAAATACTAGCACAGAAAAACTGACTCTCAGAAAACAAATGAACAACATGCCATTATTTATCTAGCAATATAAAGTTAATTAAAAAATTAAAACTCAAACTGAAAGTGAAAGTACAACTATATTGGTGTGACATGACTCAGGATCCGCAGACACTTACAGCAATTCATCTCATCCGACTTATCTACACAGTCGGCAAACCCATCACAAACCATCGAGACATTAACACACTGATGTTCAAAACGACAAGTAAACTGGGAACCACTGTCACATTTACCTAGATAGGAGTTACACACAAACAATGATCAAAAACCAAGATACAATTAACTGGAGCTTAAAATAATACAAGTATGTAAAACAACATTCAATTTTCAATAAATATGTGCTAAAATAAAGAAAAGAAGATAATATGATACAATGTATAGGAGGCCCAAAAGTCAAACTCTATTTGAATTTCCTTAACTGCATGTATATACTGTAATATGCATATCCTTTTAATAATATCAAAATTTGATTTCAATATCACTTTAGAGAAAACTCAAGTAAGTTCAAGATTGAAAATGAGATACATATGATTGAGCGATACATTTTGATATCAATTAATGTTTTCTAACAAGTTACAAGTGGTCAAATTCAGACAGTTCCTAATCCCAAAATATTTTTCAATTTAGATTTATTTACATACTTACAACAATTACTACCTAGTTAACTGAAATCCAAAGCACTCTTTGCAGCGGTAACAAAAAGAAAAAAAATAAGTAATTTCTCCTTAATTTTTTTTTCACAGATATAATCTACTTGAAAATGTCCTTGCCAAAATATTTTTAAGCAAATATCTATGTCAAAGAAGATCTAAATTTTATTTGCCTTCATCAGATGTCAATTAAGATAAAACTAATTTTTGCAAAATTGAAAATAATCTCTGAAATTCACAACAATCTCGGACTGAAATTTACAACAATGTTGGACTGAAACTTACGACAAGCTCTATCTTCTTCATCTGACCGGTCATTACAGTCTGGATACCCATCACACAGCCGAGCCCGGTCAATACATTGTCCACTTTGACAGGTGAATTCGTCCGCTCGGCAGGCTACAGCTGCAATATCAAATCAATTATTACTTAGTGATTATGTAACAGCCAAACCTGGTTATCTGTAACTTGTGGGAACCAACTTAAAGCTTCAAAATATCCAAGGATTAAAGAAAACGAGGGTAAAAAACATAAAAAAGTAGTTGGGACTGCCAATGCACTTCGACATATCCCTGGTATTGGAGATATCAGTGTTCAAGATAATGAACTTCGACTGGAGTTTAATACACTACTCTCACAATTCTTTTATCCTAAGATGTTATAATTGCAATTTCATGGAAGTTGGTTAAACAAGAAACATTACATAGTTTAAAGTTTGTGATAAAAGAATTTCAGAATGAAAAGTTATGAAAAGAAAGTTAATCTAATATCATGACACAGGCACAGTGATATATAATCTTTATAAGGAGACCTATCAAATGATACAAGTATCTGAGCTTTTATGGTAAAGAGATTCTATATCTATTAAAATGGAGTTGGATTCTTTCTATACGTAGATGGATAAATAATCTACATACTACAATTGGAATGCTCATCAGATCTGTCTGGACAGTTGATTCTTCCATCACACTCCTCAGCCTTTGATATACACCGCTTCCCATCAGCACACATAAACTCTCCAAGCTGACAACCTATTGTTTCAACAACGTATAAATTCTCAGTCTTTTCGTGAAGCAAATCAAATGGTAATAATTTTCCATCTTCTTACCCTATGAAGAACTTCCCTACCTATGAAATACTTGATTTATGTACTATGCTAGTAAAAAAGTTGTAATTCCATTATTTTCATAGATGAAATGGTTGTAATTCCTGAATATACACTTTATGCATAATTCTAAAGAAATCTGTAGAAATGCTCAATATTCTATAGGGACATATGCATCTTGATATCTTTGGGAAAACTGTTTGTGTGCTAACTCAAAGTAATGCTAAAAACACTAAATTCACAAATTCAAAATCCACGACTTCTACATGTATTTGCATTAACTTTTGAAAATGCTAAGTAAGTAAATGTGCAGCATCTTCCATTTCTCACTCACCGCAGTATCTCGGGAATTCATCGCTACCATCTCCGCAGTCAACCTTTCTATCACAGTTAGACCCAGGGGGTGCACAAGTGCTGTCATCACATTTATACTGACCCTGGGGACAGTCTGTGGTGGTGTTACCTATAAGATTTATGTCAAAGAAGAGTTACTAAGTAACAAATCTGACATAATTTCTCTACAAAATTTGAGATGTATCATTTCCATGCCTCATGACCTCGAGTCGGATTCATGGGCAACATTTTTATAAGATGATAAAGTTTAAATTTATTTAAAGAGTATAAAGTCATAGCTAGTATTTATTTGTAATAGAAATGTGGTCACAGATAGACAGATGGACAAACATGAAAAAAAAGTACATCTATCCTTCAGTTTACATGTAAATAAATTCTTTTTATGAAGTTTGTTAGCACTCTTGAAGAATATTTCATCTAAAATAACAGTAAATTCCTTTTTTCTGATTTCTCACTTTGTAAAATTAGAACTATCCATATGGTACATTTACTCAAAATGTAGCTTGCAATGATCTTATGTGACAAATAGTGATTTAATAAGCATTGTAAAAGATTCTTTTTTTTAATACATGTACATGAAATATAAGACTGCTAAATTTTTAATCAATCCCTAGTACTTTTTCAGGGTAAAAATGTAGTCCAGTACTGATCCCAGGGAGTTAAAATTTTGAATGTTTGTAAAGGGAAGCTTTGACACATCATATTCCTAGTCCAGTGCTTTGACAGAACTTAACTTTGACCTCTTGTTTTCCCCAATTTTCTTCCAAAAAGACAGTGGCATAATGAATGTTCTAGGCTTATGTTTTCAATATCTCTATCAATTTTTGACATAAAAAATTAAATTATCAAGCTTTGATTCATCAGATAAATAATTATACCCTATTCCATATAGTATTCTTTATATATAAATTTCTAACACCAACATTGCTTAAAATTCCGAAATTTTAAATTCTAAAATTCAAATCCAATAATTAAAGATAGAAATAACTAGAACTGTCCAATAGGGACAAATACCCCCCGCTGGGTTTTTCAGAGAAAGTACCAAATCACTAATGTTTTCTAGATGTGAGAGGTGTTCACAATTTCCTTAAACATTTCCAGTGAAAATTTAATTACTCATTATATTTTTTATATGTCCGTCTTAAGACGGGACGTATTATGTTATAGCGTTCATGTCCCTCCGTCCGTCTGTTAGCTTTTTCATGTCCGGCTTATTATTTAGTCTTATTTTTTTCATTATGTTCTTTACAGCAATCTGTAACAAGAAAAATTCCACCTCTCCCATGGGTGTAATGATCAGGCACTGGTCAAGGAAAATTTTGATAGCAGAAAATTGCATGTCAAATTAGAGATAAATTAATGAGTTTAGTGTGAGGTGATAACTGGTAGAGCATCTCTGATCAAGCAGGTGTTATCTACATCTCTTGGGAAATGGGCAAAAGGAATCAGTCTCTTAATTAATTGCTTGTGTTGTATTGAATTGTTCTTGTTGGCTAGTCTTACTTTCAAGATAAATTTGATGTAATTAAAACTAATTTGATATTGTTTATAATAATTAAAACTTATATGATATTGTATAATATAATTTAAACTAATTAATTTTTGTACATTTTTTATTTGAATTTTTATATCTTTACAACAAATTGCAGACTGCCTTGTCTCACTAAGATGTCATTCGACCAATTGAATCTAAACTGATTATGATAATTTAACAATATTTGATGGGCGTATAATGCTGTGGTGGGGCACTTTATTTTAATGAATGAAACTAAGGTGCAGCCTAATAAAATATCAACACTAATAATTACAGTGTTTTTTATTACATTGAAAAAATAGTTTGCAACTATCTGTCATCTTTGTGAGACATGACACTCTGCAAATTGATTGTTGAAAAAAAAAAATATCATAATTAATTATACAAAATCAAATTGATTTTAATACCTTTATATCAAACTCATTTTAAAAATAAAAGGCTGGTTTTAGTAACTATGTATTTTGACAGACATAAATAACAATTAAGAGACTTAGACAACAGAGATCTTTATTTCTTTCTGCCCAATTCCCCGGAGATATAGATAAGACCTGCCTGATCAGAGATGCCCTAACAGCTTCCCACACTGAACTCATTAATTAATCTTTAACTGGATGCATGTCCACTCATTACTCCCAAGGGACAAATGGATTTACACTATCTGCTGTGTAATGTAAAAACTGTTTTTAATACTTTGTGGGTTTTTTTTTAGTTCTAATGAGTAGTTTTAAGCTGTAGTTCACATTTTTGTACAGATGTTCTAGATTCTATGTCTCAAACCTTAGACATGAACCCGAAATGACTAAGTCAATAAAAATTTTAAAAAAACACCTGTAAAATGCAGAAAAATTATCAAATAATGTTGAAAATACCAGGTGCACATCTTCATATGGTAAATAATAAGTGTACAAATTTTCATACAAATCTATGCAATAGTTTCTGGGAACAGATCCAGACAAAACCACATAATAAAAATGAAAAAAACACCTGTAAAATGCAGAAAAATTACCCAATCATAATGAAGATACCAGGTGCACACCTTCATATGACGAATAATAAGTGTACAAATTTTCAGACAAATCCTTCCAACAGTTTCCAAGAAATGGTCAGGACAAAATCTCGTCTACAGACAGACGGACAGACGGACAGACAGACGGACAGACAGACGGACATGCTGATTCCAATATACCCCCCCTAAACTTCGTTTGCGGAGGGTATAATTATACGGAAAAGCAAAAGTTGACAGTGATATGTAATAAATCGACAAAGGAGTAATGACTTACAGTTTCTTTCATCAGCACCATCTATACAATCGGGATAGTTATCACAGAGATAAGCTCGGTCAACACAAGTCCCATCACTGCATCGCAACTGGTCAGCCCTACATGCTAGCACAAAAACAAAGAAGGCATGCAAAGCAAGGACAATAGTACTGGTACACAGAGAATAATGGCCAAACTTAGGAATAATGAATTCAGTTGAAAACTGTACACACATATAGACAGTCTGCATTTATATCTTCAAAACCCAAAAAAATAAAGTACAGTCAAACCTTGATATCTCGAACTTGATGGGATCAAGAGAAAACTTTGAGATATCTTCAAGATACTGAGGTTAAAATACATGTACATATTGAAGAAAATGTGATTGGGACTTCCAAATCATTTTGACTTATCCATCATATTCAAGATATCAATGTTAGAGATACTGAAGTTCAATTGTAACTCCACCAGCTACATTGCATGCAAATAGTGCTTTTCTGATATGCTAACAATAATTTTACACACAAATCAAATGCTTTTTTACTAATCTTAAAAACCTATTTATCACGAATTTAAATAAAATGAAAAGTGTACATAATTATGTATAGGATTTTATATAGCCCAACACAGCATTCATATTGGCAAGCCCTGCAGGTCTTTCTTACCTGGTATGACAAGTAGATCGACTGTAGCTTCTCCAACCCCTTGTATTGTGTCTGTGTAACAGATGTAGTCGGTAACATCATTCATTGTCACATTAGGAATGGACAGCCTTCCATTCTGTAGCACAGCTTTTGCAGGTAAGGCCTGGGTGTAAATATAATTTACTAAAGTAATTCTGTTTTAATATACATTAACATGCAAGAGAAACAGATATAACTACAGTCAAACCATGTTATCTCAAACTTAATGGGACTGAAAAAAAACTTCGAGATATACAAGGATTCGAGATGTGGAGAGTAAAATACTTAAAAGAATAAGGGGTTGGGACTTCCAAATCACTTTGACATAGGTAAGGTATTCAAGATATCGATGTTCAAGATATGGAAGTTCAACTATAAATTGTGGACACAGTAGACTCATCATTAAGCTAAGTTTTAACTTTCTCATTTTAGGTGACCAAATGCTTTTCTTTCCCACATACCACTGTCACAGGGTCATCGTTAAAGAATATAACGCTGGATTCGGATTTATGAAGTTTTAATGAGGATAACAAAGAAATGAAACCTAGAAAACATAGAAAACACACTCACAACACACACACATTAACAAGAGACAAATACAGCACATTAAACAAAATTACAAATTACACAACATGAAAATTCACGTCGCTGCCAATAAAGATAAATTACGTATTATCGAAATTGGTTTAATAAGTATTTACATCATTAGAAATAAATCTTACCAGGTATCCAGTATTATAAAATATGAAATATAATTATCACATCATCGTGAAAGTCGATGACTTCAAACATAAAGGTTTGGACCTCTTACACCGTAAAGGTAGAAATCTAATAGTTATTTGATTTGGCGGGATAAGCGCTTATGTAGTGCACGAAGTTAGTATACATGCATATTAATTATCAAATAGTGGTCTGTCATTGGTCCACTGGTCGTATTCGTATACCTGGTCAGTTTGTAAACTAAAAATAGAAATATCACGTGACAAAACAAAACATTCACACATGGCACTCATTCACACAGACGGCGCTATGTTTGATTAGCAATGCGCGCTAATCAAATATAATTTATTAACAAAATATTTAATTAAATATCAACTGTGACACCACATTTAAATAATTCATGCTTGAAATAGTGCATCAAACTTTTACAATTCCTTTGACCTTTAATTGACCTCAATTTAAAGTTACGACATATATCCAGTCATAAGTAATACCTATGTCAAAAATTAGCTTCTCTTATTTCTTATATATATCATTATAGACCAGACATACCTTTTGTACTTCCTATGCTCATGATCTTGACCTCAGAAATTACCCTAGGTCAAGTCATGACAGCACTATATAGTTATTAGCAGTACAGACATGAGTTACTAATGTTTCTCTTTTACAGTTATGGAATGATTAAAGATGTTATACTCTCAATCCCTGAGAGGTTAAACTTTTGCACACTGACATTGTTCCAAAATCAAATTGCATCCAAACAGAGGATAGACTGATCATTTTCAATGGACAAAGGTTTTCGACAAAATAGCATCAGATAATTATTCCATTGGTTAAATGTTTCTCATTAAAATTTATGAGAATGAGTGAACCTTGCAGCAGACAGCCTTGTATTTGTGGAAAAAGAATGGACAAAAAAAAACTTTGAATTTGGGACTAACTTCAATTTACCTTATGTCGGTGGTACTATAAGCATACCACTGTTGAGGATACAAATTTTTTTCCCAAAAATACCTACCCCCTCCTTGGTCCTCCATCTTATTGTGACTCCAACATTTCCTGTAGCTACACAGTTAAAGACAGCAGTTTCTCCTTCATTGTAAACTTGTTGAGACTTGGTTATATCAAGTTGAACACGTACACCTATACGTAAACAAAATAATGTATTTCTCCACTTTACTTGGCATTCCAGTGAAGTGATATTTCAGATAAAAACCCTCAACAATAACATAAATAATTCTGATGTAATCCCCAATTTCAATGCATGATAGTGTGAATGCTGTGCATTATTGCTTTCCACCAGGGAGTAAAACTAAGATTTCAAATTTGGTAATTTAATTCTTTCTTCCATTTTTTTTTGTGACTCTACCCTTTAGATTTCATGGGTATCTTGACTGAATATCTAACCTGAATGAAGAACACTCAATACCTGCTTATTTGTGTTACACTTACCACAGGTGCTGACAGCCTCATCTGAGCCATCTGTACAGTCCTGGACAAAATTACAGGGTGCATCCGTCCTCACACACTCCCCATTGTCACATCGGAACTGTCCCTCAGGACAGACAGTAGAAGTTCCTACAATTTCAAGTTTTACACCAAATAAAACTTTGGGTGTTAATTAAGTAAAAAACAATAAAAATAATTAGCCATAACTATTTGGCATTAAAAAGTCTGCATGAATCTATCCAGTATGGTGAATGTCTGGCAAATAACCTGAAATGACATTTTGCAATGATATTGAAACATTACATAATTTATGCTAGCTTCAACAGTTATGGGTAAACACTAGGGATCATGAATGGTAGTACTTAAAGTGTATGTACATGCATGTGCTATTTTTTTTTAATCTCAAAAGCTCTGTAAATTCACCTGTAAAAAGTAGCAAAATTAAATGCTCTAGAGGGAACATATAAGTAATTTGCTCTATTGTCAATGAAAGAGAAAGTGAAAGACTTTGATTTTGGGTAAATCTTTATAAAATCAATATGGTTGAGTATCAATAAGTGAAAATACAATTTCAATTCATTCCTCGAATGTTCTCAAGGTCCTCAGTATATGAGCTCACCACATAATGTCTGAGATTCGTCTGACTGGTCGTCACAATCCGGGGTTCCATCACATATCAAGTCCTTTGGCATACACATTCCATCGTTACATCGGAACTCAGTTTCTGTGCAGATTTCTGGAGCTAATGTTGGAGGGAGTGTGCTGGTTTCTATGTAAATAATGTATCTTAATGAAAAAGTGCCCAAATTTATAGAGGAAACATATATAATTCTACTCTTAGGATTATGGATCAACTTCAAGTTAAACCACACAGCTCAAATATAAGAATCTATATACTGCGAGTGCAACTTTATACCCAAACAGCAATACATCTTGTATCTTACATCTCCAAAATATACATACATTTCAAAATGTAGTGCCATTAATATTCTCCATAAAAAAAGGAATAAGAGTTGTTTCCACTTCAGCTTACCACAGTTTTTCTCGTCAGAGTTGTCCCGGCATTCTGGGAGTCCGTCACATCTGTTTCCTGCGACACAATCTCCATTATCACATCGTAACAGGCCTTCAGGACAGGACTGAGATGTACCCCCTGTTTAAAAAAACAAGTTATACTTTGTCTAGTACTCTGTATTCTGATATGGCCTTTTTTCTTCAAGTACTAAGACTTCATTTACTATAAATGTGGACATTTACATGTGTTGTTAATTACACAAATTAATAGCAAAATCCATACACATCGGGGTTATTTCCACTTATACACATACAAATATAATGTATTGATAATACTGAATAAAATATGTACACAAATATTGGTACTTGAGGAATGTTCAGCAAAAGATTTCTTATCATGTGTTTATAGTGTAAATTAATTACATTCCACACATAAATTTCCATGTTTACAGTCTCCCATTACAAGAAGCATGAAAAGAAAACAATTATCAATTATAGGCCTTTTTTAAATTACATGACTATATAAGAGACCAAAATTTTCTTAATGTGTGTGTAACTATGTACAATTATTAAATATTATGGCATATCCAATGATCACAAGAAATTCATTCTTTAATGTATGCATAAAAACTTTTTTCCCCAAAGACTTATTAAAATCATTTTTATATCTTAATAAAGTATAAAGATCTTAGATTTTCAAAATGCTTCTATGAATTTTTATCTTTTATTTGTATTTGTTTATTTTACAAGATAATATTAAACACACAATTTTTTTTTGGTTTGAAATGGTTTCATTGGTTGGTAGGCATTAAAACCTCTAATCAATCTTTCTCCAAGGATTTTGTCACAACCCTTTTTGACAATCTTAGAATTATACAGGTTTTTAATCTAGACAATTTCCTTTCTTTATTATATACAGTGATATCATTATCTATACAAGTACCACAGCGAGCTTCATCTGAGTTATCCGGACAATCGCCAGGCACGCCATCACACCTAAACTCAGAATCGATACAGGTCCCGTCATCACACTTAAATTCCTGTGCCTTACACTGCGGCTCTACAGCAGAAAACAACAAAGCTTTGATTATTCCAAGTTTGTTTACAGGATTGTTTGCCAGACTGAATCACTTGCCATTTCATTCCTTTATGCCAAATTCTATTATACCACACAGTGTGGGAAAAAAATGACACAGAGAATTTCTCCAGAGTTAATTCTTGTTATTCAGTCAGAAGAAGACCCCAAAATTCATATTTTTAAGTCGGAAAAAGACCCCAAAATTTATATTAAAATTTCAAATCTATGCATTATTTTCAAGAATAAAACACATGAAAATGAGCACCTCTCAATCATACTTTTGAAACCCTCGAGTATATATTGAGAGAGCGTCCGACACTCAGACATGATTTGGTCACACATACCACATCTCTCCTCGTCGCTGCCGTCTAAACAGTCTGGCTGGAGGTTACAGCGGAAGGCCGCAGGAATACACTGCCTATTATCACTACACCTGAACTCATCAGAGGCACACACCGTCACAGCTACAACAGGTGGTCGTAAAAATATTTCAGATAATTAAGAAAGAAGCTCATCATTTGTATTTTCTCTCCTTTCATTAAATAACAAATGCATGTACATGTACTGTATATCTAATTTTCTGAAAACTTGGGATTTTTTTTATCTAGTCTTATAAATGTTTCATTTTCATTCATTCTTCTATAATCTTGGATTTTTTTCTTAATAGTCTCATAAATGTTCCTTCGTAATTTTTATGACAATAATATTTACATTTGACTCATTTTTATTACTATGATATTTGTTGCAGGGCTAAATTAACATGACAGGTGCACAGAAATTATACCCTTCCAACAAATGAAAATGTCAAAAGCAATTAACTAGATGTGCCTAATAACACACCATGTGTGTTCTGGCCATTAAGTATTTTTTTTTTTTGTTACTTACTCCTACACAATATTAGTCATATTTTCAAATTACTCACATACACAAAGAAAAGAAGCATAAATTTCTGATTCACTAATGATACAACACTGAATCTGCATGAAAGCCTTTCATATTGACCTTTACCAAATGATCTGAAGATGATATTTATCATACTATAGGAACAATTCTTATATTCCACTCATATCGCTTTAAATCTGTTCACAAGAACTGTGATTGAGCAAAGATCTATTAGTAAACAATGTCTTAGATAAAAAACAAAGTCCAACAAAAGAACAAGCTAATTCAGACAAACAATGTCCCTAAAGGACAAGATAAGTATATGGAACACCTAAAAAAAAATGCAGATTGAGAAAGAAAAGAACTATTGGCTTTGACCTTTTATCTTTTGGCTTTAAATTCAATAGAGGTCTTTCCTAAGTTAGAGAGAGTCATCTCCTTAAATGTCATATTGCTTAACCTCAAAGTGGACTTAATTAAGTTATAATCTGGAAACCATTTTATGTAATATATATTTTTGACCTTGACCTTTAATCTTTTGACTTCAAATTTGCAAGGGTTATCTTAAAGTCATATGAAGTTATGACATAAAATTGTATTGAAAAAGTTGATGAGAACTACAGTTACCAAAAGTTATAATTTGGAAACCAATGGATTTCTAACCTTGACCTTGACCTTAAAATCAGTAGAGGTCTTTTTTAAGTCATAGGGAGGTTAAATATAACATTTCATTGCAAAAGTTAAAGGATTTCTAGAGATATCATCCAAAAATTGAAGTGTTACATGTACAGACATACAGCATGAAAGACATACAAACTCAAATTAATGTCCCTGCTTTTTGTGAACATTGGGGACAAAAACTGCACCTTTGACCTGTCAGTTGTGCACTTGACCTGGTATGAAACCTTCATCTCCACTGTCTCTAACTACAATATTTAATCAACAACTATGACCATAGTCAAAGTAATAAAGATCAAGAAAATACCCTCTATATCTCCATTTAAGAGGGCATAAAAAATGACATTTTGTCAGCTACTGCTGTACGTAACATCCAGCTGCCATGTTTGTAATTTGTAAAAATGAATGAAATATACATACTTTACACTACACTTATATAGTCCAAAACAGAAATTCAACATATTTTCAAAAATTTTCACCTGCAGACATCAATGACACCAATAATAAGCAGCAATTTAATAGTACCAGTATATATACATGTACCTAGGTTACGGTTATGCTAGGGATTAAATGCTATGAACCTGACCAGAATTCGAACCTGGGTCCCCTAATATCCAGATAAGGTGTGCTACACAGAGCTATCTGACCAGTAGCTAATGAACCTGTCTGACTGCCCGACATTAATACTCAGAAATCATGTTCAGTAGCATATCTGCCTTTGAACATTTGGTAAATGTGACTGTAGCTTTCATTACTTCTTCTCTCTTGATTGTTTTCATCGAGACCCTCTCCCCCCATCCCCAACCCCACTCCCTCATGTTTCAAATTATATAGAAAACAACATGCATAATTTGCACCAAGATAAATACTGTATCCAGATGAATAAATTCTTAATTTAAATTAAAAACCATCCATCTGCCACATAAATCCTAGTTTTCAACATTAGTAAAAAAAATTATGAATCCACATTGACCTCTAGTGAATTATCATTTTAATTATATTCCTGTGCTTCTTATATACATACGACAGTTCTTCTCATCTGATCCATCAAAGCAGTCGTCCTGGCCATCACACTTGTATCTGCCATCTATACACTCACTATTGGAACACTGGAACTGATCAGGCAGGCATTTCTTGGGAACTGCTCCTATAATGTACAGCAAAGTCTTTATAGCTTGTGTTTCATATCTTATACCTGAACAGATTTAATGTGCACTGTTTACTATATTTATTCAACACCTAGATAAAGAGTTAAATTGGCTTATGAAGAAAAATTTTTGAGTAAAAAGTTCTTTTCTGTTTTTTGTTTTGATGAATAATCCAGGGTCAACAAACTCTGAAGGGAAACCAAAACAAGAGGGGCATGGTTTAATACATCACCAAAAAGTTTTCTCACCTATGGAAGTATAATCCATAATGGCTTTGATGGCAAAAGTAGCTTTGGTTTCTTCAAATGTGACTTTTTCCAGGTTAAACTCTGATCCAACAGTGAAATCTTCATCATAAGCAGTAGCATAGTAGTTTATATAGAGTTCCCTAATGGAGATTCCTGGGGTTTCATCAGTAGCACTAGCTACCACACCCTCCTCAACTGCTCGGGGGTAGAATATACCTATGAAGTCCCCCTTTTCAGCCAGGATGGGGGTCGGGAGGGTCACCGTGATGTTTCCAACAGTGTTTCTTACCGGCAACTCTGTTTTTCCAATGAGGGTAAATTTATAGTCATCCGTTTGTCTCCAAATTCCCACATAGCCTGAGTAACGTGGAATGATTCTATAATACTGCCAGCCAATGACATAGCCACGACAGGGAAAGATATTGTTGATGAGAAAATTGGCCCTATTGTCCCCAGTTCTGGGTAGCGGCTCTGGGTCTCTTCCAACATAAGATGGACAAACACTGCCATCTATAATAATGAAAATAATAAAACTTCACGCCATATAGTATATATGTACTTATTTAGTGTATTCAAAATCAACCACATTTCTAGGTTATAGACTAATTAGAGCAATCACAGATTAGGTCTGTTATATTTATAAGGGAATTCATATTTCAACTATTATCATGACACTAAAGGTGCTACAGTTAATGGAGTCTTTTAAAATATAAAATACCTACATAAAATGCTTTAAGTTCTAACACCTGAAATATATAATGTTACATTCAATTTTCCATATTTTTATTCTAACTATCTTTACATTCAAAACAAAGAACCTATCTCAAATTATTCACATGCACAGTAAAATACCAAGAGACCCCTGTTACTCATATTTTGACTTTTTATTCATTGCTTCAAGTTTGCTTATATCAGGCATATAAAATTCAATATCATGTTCATGAGAACTTTTTTTTTTTAATCTAAACTCTATCCAAACCACTTCAGTTTTACTTTAAAAAAAAAAATAAAATGCATGTACATGCATTTAAAACAGCACACATTCACAATGTACAATTCACAATCCACAATTCTTGATATACATTAATTTATATTCTGAAACAAAATAAAAATCCTGCAATGTATTGCAAAGGTTTAAGATCCAATTTGAAAGTAACATAAGATTTTAAAAAAGTCGAATTTGGAACTTCTTTGAAATGATTTTAAAAAATGGAATGTTATGTCAGGAAGTGATTTTTTTTTCTTATTATGAAAAATTGTGCTGAACCATGAAGAAATTGCTTCACTTTTTCCAATGTTTTGAGAGAATTGACAGACACCTCATTCAGTTAGCATTCAAAGTAGCTAAAAATAATCCCAACTACTGCGGTGGAAAACAGTTACCAAACAGCTAATAAACTTCAAAGTTATGTTGTGCCATATTGCATTAGTTATTGCGAAATGTCTTGCAGCACATGTCTTGTTAAATATCAAATGCACTTCTCTGAATGGAAAAAAGTTGTACACCTTTCAAATTTGTTACAGAAAAAAAAAACCAAGTCAGATGGCCAAACTTTGTACAAACCTTGAAGAATCACATGTGATTTGGGGTCTAACATGTCTAAATTGCAAAATATTTTTTTTTATTATAACTAAAGAAAAACAAAATCTAATAAATCACTGTAAACAAGAGATCCATAAACAAAAAATTCACCAAAAAAACTTCACCCAATGACCCATGGACCAAACACTTCACCTACAACTACTAAGTCATTTTGCTCCTACCTAAAGGTATAAATATTTAGATTTTGGATTCATTGTACTGGTACAACAAATGTCAAGATTTTACAATTTGACTTGACAGTATTTAGTTTTATTCTTAAGATAAATTTTTTTTCTAGATTTCTTTTTGCTGAAAAGTAAATTCTTCACCATTGTTCCTATATTCCTGTTGAAGACCATTTGTCCTACTTGCATTTTCATTCTGAATTTCTAGCTGGGGAATAGATTAAAATGATTTGATTAAACTTCAACCTTCACTACATATAAAAAATCTTTGGTCCACATTTTGACTGCCATCTCAATTTCCACTGCAACACACTGCCATTCATTAAAAAAAAAACTGATTTCACTTTACTAAAGACTGTCAAATAAGTCAAATCTTAAATGGTAAAATGCCATTTTTCCTTTTAAGTGAGTACCTTGTTACTTAATCAAGTAACTCTAGTTGTCAAATACCCTGTCTATTGCACCTACCACGTGCATGGAGCATAACTTTTCTTACACATGAACTGCAGGGTTGATAATTACCCTTGAGGTTTAACATCTACTCAATCCAATTAAAATCAGACTTCTTAGATCTGCGCCGTATATGGCGCAGATCTAAGAAGTCTGATTTTAATTAGATTGGACAACTACTGTGAGTGTTTTTTATTGTGATGCAAATTTTGAGCTAAAATGTACATGGATAATTTTCATTGTAATTAAAAAAATTTTAAATGCAATAAAGTGTATGACATGTACCACAGTTTTCACAGAGTAATCCAAGAGTATAAAATTGGATGGTTGGACCTCCCTAGTGGTACCAGAATGAGTGCTCATTGTACTCTTTATCCCAGAAAACATGCAAAGTTTGGTTAATTTGGCTAAGCAATTTAGCTTCTCTGGTTTTTAATACACAAAAAGAAACTAATAAGAGCTAGATAAGATTTGAACACAAAAACTCATTTAATTATCTAGATAAGATGAACAAAGGAGAACAAAACAGAAAACAAAAGAAAATGCTGAGATACTGTTATAACTTTGTATTAGTACATGTGACTATTATTAAACACTTTACAACAATGTACACTGGAGAAGAAACATAAAAATCCTTTTCCCTTCTAAAAAGACATCTGAGGTGAAAGAAAAGAACCTGTGTCTTTCTACATTTCATACTTTAGTGAGACTGAAACACATGTATACCTTACCTTGCAAGGGCCTGAACTCAAATCCAACTGGACTAACACTGAAAGGGGAAATAACTCCACTCTGTAGGGCATTGTTAAGTGTATCAAATAACACAGAACGATCATTAAATCCTTGTGATCCCAAATCAAATGTCACCATTAATGATCCTGGGCTAAAATAGAATAAAAAAAATATTCGTTTTACAATACAAGTAAACTTTTTTCCCAAATTTAAAATTAAAGACCTAAATACTTGACAATACATGCACATAATAAAAAAAAAAAAAAAGAACATGAGTACTGAAATACACAAAAGCCAAATTTGCTCTTTCGATTTTACAGATTACTGAAGTTTTCAATTTTAGTTTATTTCTTCTTATACAATTTGTTTGGTAGGTATTTCTCAAATACGACTGATCAGAAAAATGTTCTGATCAAAAAAAAAGAGCTTTCAATAAGAAGTTAATTTTTAAATTTTGTTGGTGAGATGCTGTCATAGTTTTAGGACCTGATCCTTAGTTTGTGCCTGCATGGTTTGGTGACAGCATGGACAAATATTCTGGAAACGTAAAGTACCGTACCTGAATTCGAGCACCACAATAGTCTGCTGTCCTGGAACATTCTCGTACAGAAGTTCTATGGCCGAGGTAACTTTACCGGACAAATCCCTGTAAGCCACTGATGTACGGTCCCCAAGGTCATCTGTGTAAAACTCGCTGGTAATGTTTATCACAGCTCGGAAGAATTCTGAAATCAAAAACAAAATATTTGTTTTTAAAATATGAACTATAGTAGAATAACTTTATGAATTATCAAACATGGTATTTAAAATTTACTCCTCTAAAACAGTGAGAAATAACCTTCTAAAACAATTGTTTATTTGAGAAATAAATTTAATTTTTGAAAATTCATGAGGACATGAACCACAGCTCTTCATGCTGGCATATTTATCATGAAACGCTTCAGCACATTATGATAAATATGCAAGCATGAAGAGTCGTAGTTATATTTACATTATTTATCTGATGACTTGCCACAAATTTTTGTTATTCAACTATCATTTTTGAAATAAAACAATTTTCACTATAGTTTTGATGCCAAGTACAGTATTATGACTTCACAATGGAGATATTCATGCTCATACATGGTAGTTCATGGTAGTTCAATTCTAATTTGCAAAGAATCTTAAGGAAAAATATATAGAAATGTAAACATTGTAAAAAGACATCATTCTGTAGATCTTGATGAGTTCTTGCTGCTTCCATCATGATAAGAAAATTTAATTATATAAAAATGTTCACTAGAAAAGTTGTTATTTCACACAGAGCGAGCACCTCATGTCAATGAAGACATATATTTACGTAAGATGCTTTTTTTCTTTTTTCGTTTAGATTTATTTGAAAGAAATTCTAAGTTCATGTCTTCAAGTACTACAACTGATGAGTAATACTGCCATATGGCACTACTCTAAAATTTGGGAAAAAAATTGAACCCTAGTTCAGTTTGTCAAATCTGTGTATTTCAATGAAATAAATGAATAGTTGGAAAAGTAAGTATTGTATTTCAGTTTCAAAAGTTTATGATACTTTTCACAAAGACATACTACTGCCTGGGTGAAAATTATACAGTCATACCTTCAAGGAAAATTCAAAAACTCATGAAGACCTGTGTCACTAATGATATGTATTGAAAGGAGTTTTGCCCCCCCCCCCCCCCCCCCAAGGACTCACTACTATCACTAATTGCTAGTCATAACAATTCTTCAATTTCGTTTATCTTAAATTAACAACATGCTCAGACACTTATTTTTTCAGTGTTTACGCCAAAATCAACAAATTACAAGAATTTAGATCAAGTTATTTTACGATCTAAAAAATTTCCTTTTTAAAGCAGATCTACACTGTAGATTCAACTTTTTATATAGAAATCTGACCAAAATTTACCAACAGGTGTAAAATGGAAAGGTGTCTTATTTTAATATCTGATCCCCAGGCATTTGTATATAATGACACAATTATAGCACCTGACTATCTATTAAAGATCACAGATACCTAAACTGCACTCAAATTTATATTTTCTTTTAAAATCCTCTCTCATGAATAGATTGTCTAGACATATGACAATACAGGGATTTCATGAAATCTTATTCAACAAGTCACTTCAAAATTTTATCGAGTTTATGAATAGAGCTACATGACATTTACTATTAACTGCCAAGCATCCAGAC